GTGGTTAATCTTCAACTGAAATAAGCTACCGAGGAAGGGGGTATGTTCAGGTGATTAGAAAATACTCCAAACTACCAATGCTTAGAATAATATGATATCAATACACGTATGCATACACTACTGTCACAAATTTCGAAAATAAAATATAAATTGAAATAATCCAAAGTTCGAATTTCGAAGTTCCTAACCCCTTGCCCTGCATCACAGTTGGTTCTAACACCAGAGACTTAAACTTTGCATTACGTTTATTACTTCCATACACTTCCACTATGACATGACCTGACAACTGAACACTGCTGATATAAAAGACACTAAGTTTAAACGTTCACATGTAAACAAAACTCTAAAAACAACATTGTTTACCTCCGTTGTGAGTTTTCCCCTGACTTGAAGTACGCTGTCAGCTTTTGGTGAAGCGAGATTCACCAACGCGTTTTCTATCTCAGGCTCTCAGCATGAATTGATTCTCTGAACGCTGGCACTACTGAACAGCTTAGAAAACGACCTGCGGCTTTCAAGTAGCGAATCGGAAGCAGATAATCCGCGGCCAACAACAATGGAGGTGACAGACAGTTTTCAAGAGGTGATTAGTAAGAAAGAAAAGAAGAGGAGGCGAGAGTTGGCGAAGAAAAGTGAAGGAAGTGGTATGTTAGCCAGCCGATAGGGGGAGACCAGTGAGACAGTGTTGAACTGTTCATCATCTCACGCCTCAAAACCATATTTTAGCCAGTGGGCTTTAGACCTTGGGTTAGAGAAAACCTCCTGCTCCGCGGACTTAGAACAGGGGCCTTACAGTCCTACCAGTGCTACGAGTCTGTGTGTGCAAATCCCCGAGATTGTTGTTAAGTCCAGCGACAAGTTAACGCACCCTGTAAAGGAAGTGATCAATGGTGAGGGCCTGTTTGCTACAAGAGCACTCCAGGCCGGCCTAATAGATTCTAAACGATTAATTCTCCAAGTTGACAAACTCTCCCTTATAAATTTACGGAACTGTGGTGTGAATGTGAGTGACTGGCCTATCCATGCAAATTACAAGTCCAGTGTATGGAAGTGTGCCAAATAAACGTAAGTTCAATTATCTGCCCGTATCTGTGACCCCTCTATTATTATTACCAAAGGTAATGACTGATTGGTTATGACAAAGTATAACTAATAACTTAGATGGATGTTGGAAATTAATGGAGTTCATTAAATCATCATTTATCAAGTACACAACGCATTGAATGCCGGAAGCAGAGTGAAATTCTACGTAGTGATACACCATAATCTCCTGGGTGAGTAACCAGTGTGAAGGTATCTGAGTTCTACGGTAAGAAAACCACTTTCCTGCATTTAAAACGTAACAAATGTACTGTAAAAGAGACCCACTTAAGGCGGCATCACACTAACATTTCTACTGTCAACTTTTTTCACGAATCGTCGGAGTTGACAACTTAAGATCTATAATTTATACTACAAATGGTTATAAAAATAAACTAATTTCTATTTAAATTTAAAGCAAAAATTATGAAGTAATTATTACTCTCCTTCCCAATATTACGCATTATTACATTTAATTTCGTGATTTTAAAAGGTAAGAAAATGTTTAAATTTGTACCATACGGGAATAACATGACGGAGCTAACAGATAAATTAATCTCCCAAGTATGGACACGCCTCTCCAAGGACCAGATAAGGCAGCGCCGCGTCTCTGGGATCACTACAACTCTCATATACCAAAAAAGGCGTAGAATTGCTGCGCTTTCTCCGCCAGTTGGAGGATTTTCTGAAAGTTGACTAAGGAATGCCAGTGTGACGCCGCCTTTAGGGGCCTAACTACTATGGGCACATACGCATGCATAAATATAAAAATGGCTGAAATCATGTGCTAACCTAACCTATATCTTAACTCGCCTATATCTAGAAAAATTAGCATTTACACAACGAAATTAATAGATCTGAAAGTAATCAGCGTACAAGACTGTCTAAAATACCCTCGGGTTAATATGCGACTTACCTAATGGTCACTAGTCGTATATTAGCCCATTTTTTTAAGTGCGTTATGCAGAGGATAGCAATTAATGTCACAAAGAGATAACGTGAGGAGCGTGGTTGGGGGGGGGGGTGCTGGCCGCTCCTTGTCTCTCGGATCACGCTCCTCACTTTTCCTTGTTACATATTGAATGTTTATGGCAATAATCTTAATTCTTTTTATAATAGATATAGATATATTTATATTTTTTTTTATATTTAATGATAATATTAAATTAAAGATGAAACAAAAACTGCCGTTTTTATTTATATTTTTTGTAAATTATGCCATAATATTTTGCTGAGGCAGATACAGCGCAGTGTTGCCACATTAGGAGAATTTCACACAAATTTGTAGGAGAAATTGTGGGGTACGAGATGTTGGTTCACACTCAGGATGGGATGGAGAAAGGTAACTCACAATGTGCTCCCTGTATACATATTATATTGGATGTACAATGCAGCTTGGTGGCTGGTGCTGGGAGGAGGCAGTGTGGTTACAAGCGTGAGTAGGGAGAGCTGGTTGGTGAGGGTGCTCAGAGGCGGTATTGCTTGCTGCGGCTGTAGCTAGAAGAAGGGCAGGTCACGGCCAGGTGTGGTCTTATATAGGGGGGATAGGCGTGGCTTGATTGTAGACCTCCGCTTTGTTCGGGGGCGCTGGTTACCTGACCTTGACCATGAGGGATACGCTGAGAGATTCGCGGGGGGTCGGCTAGTCAGCGACACACGGCATTTGTTGGGGAGGAATCCACTACAAAATGACGTTACGTGGGCACTTTTTGTGGGAGTGTAGTGGATCCTCTCTCCTACAGCTCCCAACTGAGCTCCGGCCGCGCGCCTACCAGCCAATCAGCGTACAACTTTTTTCCAAGTTAAGAAGCTCCAAAAAAAGTTGTTGGTAGCGAAAGGCAGAGCGGGGAAGATGAGAGAGGAAGGAGCAGGAGGTTAGGAAGGGAATTGTAGTGGGAGAGATAGTGCCATGGCTTTACACGACTGCGTTTATTTGGTTAGCGCATAGCGCACGTATTTGGGTTTTTGTCTGTGTTTGGTGCGTGATCCTCGGGTCACAACTCCTCGGATCGTGTTAGTTCCAAGTTTAGAAGCTCCAACAACTTTCTTTGGATACGAATTCGCAACCTTTCGATTTACAACAGGTACCTACTTTACTGCTAGGTGAACAGGGACCAAGGGGGCTAGGAAGAGTGTCCAAACAACTTCCGCCTGCCCAGGAATCGAACCCGTAAAATCGTCCTTGTTTTAAGGAAGGGGTGACGACCTCTGGCCAGGTTCTTGTGGAGCTGGCTGAGCAACGTATCTTTTGTTTTTAATAAGAGTGGAAGGAAGGGGCAAGAAGACAAGTGTTGGAGAGGCCAAGGATAGTGTCCTTTGGTCACTCATCTTTTAATGAAGCGTTTTGTTTATAGTAGGGAAGTTTAATTTCTAAGAAGAGGTGTAGGCTCCAACTTGCTACTTTTGTCACAAGGAGGTGGTCCTATCTTTTGGGTTTAATTGAAAGATTGAAGCTTGACTTGAAGGTACAGTATTTAATGGCTATACAGTTCTTTTTGTTTTTGTATCGAATTTGATAATTGTAGATGTATTTTGGTATTGGTGGTGGATTGTCGACTCTTATTCTGCTTAATCTGAACCAGGCGTGTTCTTCTCTTGCTCTTCTTACTTTTACTTTTACTTTTATCCTCTTCGCCACTGATCGGCTCGCTAGCCGCCCGGGCGATCGGTCACGTCTCTGTCACGCACTGTTGGCAAGTACTGGGCATGCACCGGCTCCTGAATGTACCTGAACCCGCTCCAGTGTTGGTCAAGTCTTCTCTTGAAAGAGCTCACACTCGGTGCCGTCACAACACTCTCTGGTAGATTGTTCCAAGAGTTTACAACCCTCACTCCGAAAAAGTTTGCCCTCACGGTTTTCTGGACTTGCGGCTTCTTCAATCTTGAGCTGTGACCCCTTGTGGGGCGAGCGTCCGCCAGCTCCAAGTAAGGACACTCAACTGAGTAGTGCCCCCTGAGATGCTTATACACCTCAACTAGGTCCCCCCTTGCCCGTCTGTAGTATAAGCTAGGCAAGTTCAGGCGCTCCAATCTCTCAGGGTAGCTGAGGTGCCGAAGTGCAGGCACCAGTTTGGTGGCCCTCCTTTGAACATTTTCAACCAACTGACAGTCCCTAGCATATCTCGGGGACCAGATGGGGTGACAGTACTCCAGATGGGGAAGCACTTCACTCCTGAAGATCGTCACGAGGGACGGACCGTCTAGATATCTGAACGACCTTCTTATAAGACCCAATAATTTATTTGCCTGATTTACCTTCTTCTCACAATGGCCCGAGAACTTCAGCTCATTGTCAACATACACACCTAGGTCCTTCTCACACACAGTCTCAACTAGTACATTTTCTTCATCCCGTTGGGACATATGGTACGCCTCCTTACCGTTGGTACGCCCCAGGTGCATCCTCTTACACTTCGTGACATTGAATCTCAGCAGCCATTCCTTCGACCATTCCTGGAGCCCACAGAGGTCCTTCTGCAGCTCTTCACAGTCCGCTTGGTTCTTAATTTCCCGAAATAACTTGCCATCATCGGCAAACATTTGTATGGAGGAGTGTACAACGTCAGGCATGTCATTTATGAAACAAACAAACAACAGCGGGCCCAATACACTACCCTGCGGTACCCCACTTGTTACAGGTACAGATGACGATTTCGTGCCATTAATCACCACACATTGCTTGCGGTCATGTGGTTCGTTGTCGAGCCAGTTTGCTACAGTTTCTGAGTCTAAATCTTGTACTTTTTCCCATGTTCTTTTGACTTGGATGTAGATGTCTACGTGTACTGCATTGATCAGTGGTGAAAAGGATAAAAGTAAAGTAAAAATATTGTGGGAAAATCTGTGGGATTTTAAAAATTTCTGTGGGAAAAATCTCGCTCATATGTGGGAAGTGGTCGAGATCGAAGTGGCAACACTGACACAGTTCAGGAGCTGAGTCCACATACAACCTGTGTCAACAACATCTGCTGGGCCAAGTCCTCGCAGTTTTGCTACTTCTGGAGCTGCAGCCTGTTACAGGTATGCTTTAATAGTCATCAGCCAAGCCACCTGCTCGTTGGTAAGTTGAAAGTATACAGTTTGTATTGCTATAAAACGTCCTGGAGCATAAAACTGGTAAGTAAGAAAAGAAAGGAAAGACCTTGGAATGTCAAGAGCTTGGCAGTTGCCACGGGATATTGTTCAATTCATCAACAGATGCATCTTAAATTTTAAATAAAGTATTAAACGATGTTGGAGGTTTGTACCGCACAATTTTCCACTTCTATTAATTTATTAGTGTTTTGTATCATGACGAGTAAGGAAAACTAAATAGGAAAAAATTGCACATCTCATTCTTGTTACCGTTACACTAAGGCGCAAATTATTCTTGATATCATTCTGGCTATGGTGATAAAGATATATTATAACCCAACTAAACACATGGGTCCTTTGGCGTGTTTGGGCAAGAGGCAGTAGGTGCAGATGCTTCTCTTTCAAAGGTACAGCTGTGGCCCATTGTCTCATAGCTGTGGCCTGAGGTCTGTTCACTGTGGCCTGAGGTCTGTTCACTGTGGCCTGAGGTCTGTTCACTGTGGCCCAACTGAACAGCGATTGCTTAAGCTGGTTACGCCTGTGGCTTCCTGTCCCGACGCTGACACTGGCTGTGTGAGGAATGAGTCATCAATAACAGTGGAAGGAATTGGAGTACTGTAAAATTATAGTGTCGGTCATCTCTAACCTAATCAAACCTATTTTACCTAACCTAACCTAACCTAATCAAACATTCTACCTAACCTAACATATTCTACCTAACCTAACCTATTCTACCTAACCTAACATTCTACCTAACCTAACATATTCTACCTAACCTAACCTATTCTACCTAACCTAACATTCTACCTAACCTAACATATTCTACCTAACCTAACCTATTCTACTTAACCTATTCTACCTAACCTTCCTAACCTAACCTGGAATCATTCATGAGTACGGAAAGAATGACGCTGGGAAGCATTAGTGTCAACATTACCGCCAAACAAGTATTTTGAAAATTGATTGTTCCTGTTGTCCTTTTTGGTGGATATTTTTAAAGTAAAAACAGGTGAAACGAAAACAAGTATGGAATTCATCACATCTGATTGGCATTTGTTTTCTTGTTTGGTTTTCAGTCACTTGTGTTTTGATCTGGGATGAACCTTATATTGCATTACATTTCTTCGGGTCCAACGAATTACCCAAAAGTACCCAAAAGTATATTAAATCAGGGTAAAATCTTAATGAATATCTGTTATACATACACAAAACATATCTAATAATATTTTTAGTGTAATTTTGTAAGATGAAATAATAAACAGCGAAAAACTTATACTGAACGCTAAATTCCAAAGAGGTTGTGAACAAGAGAGATAACTCAGATCCATCGTGATGCACTATGCTAACCTAACCTAACGAAAAGTAAATCATATGGCTATGTTAAATACCCCAAAGTAACAGAAACATCGGTAATCATATCTCCATTTTGGATAGGTGACTCTTTGGAATTTTGCTTTTTTCGCTGTTTATTATGTCATTATTTTGACTACATTTGAATGAAAACATTATTAATCAGGTTTTATTGATGTGAAACATATATTTGTTAAGATTTTACCCTGATTTAATATACTTTTGGGTAATTCGTTGGACCGCCTTCCTTCTGAAGTACATAATGGTTTAGTACAGAAGGAGATGGAGTGTATTTTTATATGAATACAGTCGGCCCTTAACATATGCGGGGGTTAGGTAACAGAGATACCCGCAAATGTTAAGGATCCGCGTATTTTTGCTGCACCCAAAACACCCCTGGCCCCCCCATGTCCTTATTTAAGTAAAGAAAAACACTATGTACATGTTTCCAAACACTTTATTTAATGTTAAAATGCAAAAAGAGCTGTAAAAACAATTAATAATGTACTGGCTGGCATCTCCACTTGTCCCTGCTCCGGCCTCCAGAGCGTCATCACTCATCCTCGCTCTATCCTTCCGCCTCCACATAGTCACTACTGCCGACATCAAACACAAATGTTTTGTGAATAACTGCACCTCCACTTCCTATGTACAGTACTGAACTGTGCTGTGCATTTTTACAAACAATAAACGTGGCAAGAAAAGCTATAAAAAAAGGGATACAAATTTCACTTTACTGTACCGTACCTATCCTCGGCAACAGGAGCGGGGTCATCGTCACTCGTTTCCATAACGGGTGGTGAAGTGGGGGCGACGGTGGGTTCAGCTGCTTCCTCACTGCCGCCAGTGATGGATGGTGTTGTATCTCTCCTTCGGCGATCAAAGAACATGGTGGTGGGGAGTTGTTGTCTCTTTTTCATCTCTTCCATGATGTTTTTGTATGCAGCAAAAACGTCATCCATCCCTCGCATGAATTTCAGGGCACGCACCATGGAGGGGTCCATACCATAGGCCAGGTTTTTGTGCCTCAATATACCTGGTCATCTCCCCCAAATTCTCCAGCGTTATTTCTTGTAGCTGATGTTAACACAAGCATGGTTACAGCAAGACTGACTGACTGAGGGTGGCGTGGCGGGCGATGTGCAGTGTCGCGCGCGATTTGAATGTATATTCCTCCGGCGGCAATCCGCGTATTTGCAAATCCGTGTATGTTAAACCCGCGTATGTTAAGGGCGGACTGTATAAGTTTCAGGGAAGAAGTTGGTCAAAGTTAAAGATTTTGGTCAATAAATTCTGAAAAAGTCTGTGGTGTATGAAAGCTGTAGGACGACTTTTAGCCGTAAAATCAATTAAATCACCCTCCCCCCCCCATAACCCGCACCTCGTCCGTGCCACCGCAGTTAGTAGGGGTTCATATTATAGTTGACATAATTAATTACATGGAGTAATACGCCGATTGTATTTTATAACAAACCTAATATTTTCCTTAAGCTATATGACAACTCTGGTTTGTGTGGTGTAGAAGGCAAGCCTGAGAGGAGGAGATCAGTGCATGATGAGCATAAATCAGACGGTAGACGAACCGCACTTGCTTCTCGCTCGTACTGCCATTTACTCTGTTCTTCCAATTTCTGTTGGACTACAGAAGCCTTCATCGTGACTAGGGCTAAGTGAAACTCACAAGAAATATACAAGCTGCAGAATTTGCCAAGAGGAGGAGGACGTGACCAGCCACAGCATCCCTACCTTACCACCACCTGCAGTTATAGCCTCAATATCCAGGGTAATTCCTACACCTGCTTCCTTTACACTTCTCCCACACCTGAGGAGTCGCTGTGTTGATATTTCCTTTCTTAATTCAACTAGTGTAATTTGTTTAGTTGGCCATAAGAACGTTTACATCGTTTTCATTATTCCCTGTATATAAACTGCCCCCTCGCTGAACACGAGTTTGTTCAACGTGAATTCATTCGAACGCGGTTTATTATGACTACCTGGTATTGCTTAACACGGGGCCAAGATTAGCTTTAACGTGGGTCGAGCTCACACCTTGTGGGTCAGAGCTAGCGCTTGGTCCGGCCATAACCAAAACTTCGCTTAGATTAACTTCAGTTTTTTCGCTTGCCATCGTCACCATGGCTCCACCTAAACATTCTCCAAGTGCCCCTCTGCCTCTCGGGACACTCCAGCAAAGAAGAATAGCATCATGTTTACTCTAGAAAGTAAGTTGGATATTCTTCAGTGACTTTAGAGAGGGAAGTTGATCCACCAAGGACTTCTCCACAGTTGTTAACATCAAACAGCATCCTACACCACCATCATTCTTCATACCCTTCATACCAGAGTACATGGTATTTATTATTCCTTTTTAGATGTTTATTCGTCGTGTTTTGGTTTGAAATTCTGAGGACTAGAGAGAGGCCAGTTCGCCACTCTGTAGGACTGGTTTCTCCACGAACAAGTCAATCAAGAGGAATGCTGATAAGATTAGAGTCTTAATTTTGAGTAGATAAACATAGCTTTCTTCATATTTTTTTATTATTCAGTTACATGCACCCACAATCCTACATATAAAATATGGAAAAAAAAATTAATGTAAACATATCTTCGTGCACCAGTGAGATGTTATGTTATGGTTATTTTTCGACGGGCAATTTCCAGTAGATAAACGAAACTGTTCATATTTATTTATTTTTGTGTGTTTTTAAATTAATAAAAAAATCATCAGTCAAATCCCTAGCTGGGCCGGGTTTCTATGGCAAGGCTTGAAGGAGGCCACATGTGATTCGGCCAGTGCCTGCAAATGGCCGCGGTGTGGGGGGGGCGGGGTTCCAGCATCCTCTATTTACCCGTAAATAAACATTTGGGGTTGGGTTGCGCGGGGTAGGCCCAACGCAACCCATGACATACTGTACAGATGTTTGTGGACAACTACCCTTATATGGTAACTTAAACAGGATATTAATGAAAAACTATGAAGCTGCTAGTGAGAACGTTATTGACACCTGTGATGAGGGCCGAGGACACCTCACTCTAGGACTATGGTGAGCCTCTCAGTTGGTGAAGTTATATACAGACTGTACATAATGTTTCCAGACAGAGAAGGTGACTTGACTGTAGCTGTACTGTACTGATACTTTGACTCAAGTGTAACATAAATGAGTTTTATAAGAACAAAATCATCTTTTTATTGCAGAAACTATGAGTGGGAACTCAAAGTACAGCCTTACAGACAATGGAGTTGTAACTCTATACAACAGGGAGCTGAAGAATGCTGTGACTGTGCAGGTGAGCGTGTAGAATATTACAAAATTTACACTACTCTATTAGAATATATTTGCAGATGTACTAAAACGTTTTATCAACTTACACAACTTAACACTATTTACTTGGTGATGCTTGTCATGATTTTTGGCATGTGGCTGTGACTAATGTTAGGACCAATTTACCTCCCAGTTTTAGGCAGAGCAATCTATATATGGTTCATAGGGAGAGTCATACAAAAGCCACAAGTCAATTGAAGATATTCTGGATCAAGAGAGGACTAGAGGTTAGCTTACCGAAATGTCACTTTGGCGAGTTACTCACTTAGCCAAATGAGTCATATTCCCTTTTCAATTCTAACTTGGTTGTTTCCTGCATCACTAATTGCTAAACTTGCTGATTTTTTTACTTTTGCCCTTTAAGTCTGGTGGCTCTTATAATATAGAGCTGCTTAGGCCCACTTCATACGAGCATTTTTGTCCCTGTGTGGGAGAACGCATGTGTTCACACAGGCATGTTTTTCACGCTTTGTCAAGATCTGACACATATAATCACAGGTACTTCAAGCCCCTACCAGAGATGCACCACAACTGACACTAAAAACATGCTTGGCTGAAGTACTCCATTGCCATATGAAGAATTCTAGAACGTTCGGCTTGTTTTTTCATGCCACAGTTTGGAAGTACAGGCGTGTGTTGAGCAACACCCGCACCTGGTCCATGTGAACGGTCCCATTGAACTTCATTAATTTCTAAGCCGCAGGGGTCCTCACACTCAGGAAAACCACTCATGTGAAGTGGGGCTTATGAGAGACTTAGTGCAATAATTGTCCTTCATAGACTAGGAGGTCTTGTCTGCTCAGTCATCATAACGTTTATAAGGCTGCCGTCTACCATCATAATATTCAAAGCCAATCTGCCATTTTTTAATTCACCTATTGACAGACAGTCACATACTCCACAAGAGCTAAGTATAGTCCCTTTGGATACTACAGGATCTTTTGGCTAGGACTACTGTGGTTATAAATGTCATCTCATAGAGTCGGTGAATAATAGGTCTTATGTGTTTTCATCTGTTAGGTCTGTTGACATGTGTTACTGACCTTCCTGAGTCAAGGTTAGCATTCCTTAGTACCAGCACTTGTTGACCAGTTCTCATAACCACCAGATTCCAGTCGTCTTATTGTGTGGTTTGTTGGTTTATTAGGAGGGCTGGTGCTCACCTCATGTTATACACCCCCTGTATCATGTACCTTGGTAGAGTTTAATGTAGGGTAGTTATTTGTGTCTTTCTTAGAGTAATCATTTGGTCAATAAGTATATTTTTGTAAGGGGTGAATTTTTATAATCCCTTTTTATTTGTTAAGTCTGAGCTATACAGCATCAGAATTCATCCTTCATATTTTCTTATTGGCCACTTGAAAGTAAATGTTCTTTGATGCCTTTAATGCATTAGATATATACGGGGATGAAATTGAGAAAATGATCCACCTAACTCGTGAACGTTTTCTTTCCAGGTAATATTTCTAGCAACCACTGAGCTGACTTGCTACATCAGAGTATCAGATGGGAAGCACCTGTCCCCTGTCATCTTGCTCTTCAGGAAACATTTTAATCCCACATTTGGTGTTGGTGCCATCATTTCAATAAAAGAGGTAAGTAAGTAACCTTGACATAGTTACTTTCAAGTGATTGTATGTCATTCTCACTTTTCTCTTACATACAAGAATCCTGGCACATTTTATATCCTGTGATTCCATTATCCTTTACTTGCAGGCGCAAATTTTGTTACTGGAGGAGAATACAGTAAGACAGTATCACCTTGAGGATGAAGGAATGCATCGTGTCTTCATTAGGAGTTATGCCCTGCTGGAGTCTCATGCAACTATTTTTGGTCCCTTGGATATTACTGGCACCTATCGAGATGCCATCAATCATGTCTATCACATTTTGGTAAGTGAACTCCATGAATTTATTGTTGGATTTCTGCAGAACAAAACCAAAATAAGCATTAATAAAATAGTAGAAGTTTGATGTTAGTTTTTTTTTATAATCTTTTCTTTTATATGTTCATATATATCGTTATTTACAAATGTGGGTTAGTGAGGAAGTAGAGGGTCTTAGGGTTGTTCTGCAGCTATGTCTCTGGCCTGTGACCTTTAAAATAGGCTTCTGATGTATGTGGTAGTAAATGTTTTGTGAAATAGGTACAGTATTGTGTACAGTACACTCTAGGTACCTTATTATTTTTTATATACAGTACTGTATTGTTATATGCTTTTTGCATGTTCCTTTATATTTCACAAACAAAATCATTGCTTTTTTTAGTAGAAGTTAAGTGGATCAAAATTAGTATTTAAGTAATCTTGTATAATATATATATATACACACATATATATATATATATATATATATATATATATATATATATATATATATATATATATATATATATATATATATATATATATATATATATATATATATATATATATATATATATATATATATATATATACATATATACATATACAGTATATATGCTGTACAAGTATTATTTATTTATTTAATTGAATTTGTTTATTTCTTGCAGAAAAAAATTGACCCAAAAATTGATCAACAAATAAAATGGGTGAGTATCAGAGGCTGGTGTGGTTTATACAATGTAATACAATACAGTACAGGCCTCTTTCTGAGATCACAACCCCAGTATTACCAAAGACAACCTGTATTGGGTTTCTGTGATAAGAGAAATTGCAAATAACAATCCTATTTGGAAGAAAAATATGAATTCTGAAATATCCGATCAAAAGAAAAATCCATTTATCTTCCAGCTGTATTGGATGGTATGGTCATTACAGAGCCAAACATTATAGAACTTTGTACATTCTTATGATTATTAAGGTGAAGCAGTTGTCTGAGAAAACAATCAATTAACTTTGTTTTTGTTTCTTTTTGTAGGATCCCAAAAGGTGCAAGGATTTACAGTCAGAAGGAGAAATCATGAGGGAAAATGGAAATCAGTTCTTCAAGCATCAGGAATACATTCAGGCTGTTTCTCATTATGATATCGGTAAGTGAACATACACACACACACACCTAAACCTCTGAGTTCATTCTTGCTGTCACTTGGAGCTTTGGAGCGTAAAGCCTATTTGTTAAGTGTTGAGAACGGCAGCTTCAGTAAGTTCATCCTGTAAGGTATTTTCCGAGTTGTCTCCTCAGGACTCTTATGGCCATGCTGAGCTTATCTCTGGCTGCATCATATGATTTTGAAGTCATTTCCCAATTCAAGTTCTGTAGACCAGTGATTCTCAAACTGGGGTCTGCGAAAAGTTTTTGAGAAATACTGTAGTGTGTTTAACGTTAGTGGGAGATTTGGCGATTCCAATTCGCAGGATATTTTGGATTTGGGTTGAAATGGACTATGATTTATTCTTTGATTATTGACAATATTTGTATGTGTCATGGTATATAAGGGGTCCTTGGTTGAAGAAAGTTTGAGAACCCCTGGTGTAGACAACATTACATGACACTTGAATAATAGTAAACCCAATTTATACCCATTTTATTGACAAAGGTGTATTTTTATTGACCTAATTTATTATTATTATTATTTTTTGCAGCTAAGAAGAAAGACCCTTTTGACTATAGAGTTTGGTCCAATTGCAGCCAAGCTCTGTTTAAGTTGGAGGAGTATGAAGAAGCTGAACATGATGCATTAATAGCCATTAAAATGAATCCATTTGCTGAAAAGGTACATCACTAATATTTGTCATTGTACACTCAGCAAAAAGGAATCTGGACCTTTTCACTGTTATAAAAAATATGACTCGCTGGACCAAGAATTCTGATAGACGTTCTTGAGTTACACCGTACACCGTTATTCCGAACATTGATTTGCCAGTTACTCTATCTTCTGTTTTCTGAAAGGTCTTTAATTGTCAGTGTGCACAGTTTGTCTCACATGATATGAATAAAGCAGTGAGCAGAATCGATTATCATGTTATATGGTAGTGAGGTTTCATGGTGCATTTAATTCTTTACAGCAGCTCCTCCCCTCATGAGTGTGGCTTACAACACACAGTAATTTATATTGTTGTTCTTCTTGGATGAGGTCTTATATTTCATCAAATAATGTTACTGTAAATCAGATAAAAGTTATTATACCGAGTACAGCTCCTCCTCGACTTTCGACCTACTCGACTTACGACCACCCGGACAAACGACCGCCTCAGTAGTACCAAAATTTGGTCAAATTACATATTTTCGAGTCCCAACGTCAGTGATTGCACTGACAAAATTTTCGTATGTAATTCACATTAAAATGGCTGGCAAGCTTAAAAGCGAGAGTTTTGTGGTGCTGAGAAGAAAAAGAGACACCCATTTTAGATTATCTATGTATTATTTAAGCATTTTCGACTTACGACCATTTAGACTTAGGACCTGGATTTGGGTCCCTAACCCCGTCGTAAGTCGGGAAGGAACTGTAGTTACAAGAACCTCGGTACATCTCTCACAGGATATTCCTATACAGTAACTCATTTCCTATAGTGGGTAATACAACGTAGTACAGGTATATAATAATATTTTATGTGTTTCAGTTTAAGGTTAATTTCTCTATTTTAATTACAGCCTACATATTAATCAGGATATATTTGTTACACAGTCAGAAATACCAACCCCCTCCAAATGAACACAACCTCAGTGACAGTGATCATTTTGAGGACCATCAGACCAGGGGTGAAGATTCTTTTTTGCTGACTGTACTGTACATCTCTTAGCTTGAATTTTCTTTAATATGTATCCGGTCCATATATACATTTGTTTGATCTAATGGATAGAGTTTTCATAAAATTTTCTTATTCACAAATTTTTATTGAAAGTTATAGAAATCATAAATAGTCTCAAGGTGAAGAAATAATAATGCAAATATTTTAGTTTTTGTGATTGAGTGGATCTTTTTGAAACATATGTATTTTAAAGTTCTCCATTAAGTTTGACATGGTAAACTGTCATTACATGCTGTTCCCCTGCGTACATGTGGTCAGGTTATGTTATTTTTCAGGCCTACTATCGAGCAGGACAGGCTGCCTTTAAGCAGTCCAACAGTGTAGCGGCAGGAATATATGCACAGAACGGGCTGATGTTATGTGGCAAGAGTAAGGACCTACAACAACTTTTCGAGGAAGCCTTTTCATTGAATGCAGATGGTACTAATGGTTAGTGAAGTGTTCTCATGAGATAAAATTATTACCACCTTTTTTTTCTTCACTATCAAGCTTTTTCCTGCTATTGTAGTCCTTTACAAATCTTTGAGGGTCACACTGAATATTGTCTTGAAATTGTATGAATCCTAAATAAGCATACAGTACAGTAGTTAACTTTGTTTGAGTAATATGATAATTACTTTTTGTAGTTAAAAAATAAGAACATATTCAGAAATTACAATGGCTTACACAAAAATAACTGCTTTTTAAAGTAAACAACAAACATTCACATGTAATATAAATTCCTGTACACTTGAATCTTCCTCTTGTACCTTAGGCAAGTTTCAGAAAAATGCTGGCATCAAAGGTGGACAACATTACTACTTATTTCTGAATATTCAGGTTTGAACTCTTTCTCTTTTGCTTTTCATTTGGACAGACTTAAGCCTCAGTTTGATGTTTTTGTCACTACAGTAAACCCTTGTTATTTGCGGTAAGCAGATAGTGGCTAGCTTGCAACCCTCTCCCGCAGCTCTCAACCACTGCCTGTGATACACCATCTCTTGTGTTGTACTCAAAACTTTAGTGTTTCTGTGTGAAATGGCCCCTAATAGACTGCTTAGTGTCAGTGCTAGTGGAGTGAAACATAAAAGGCAGAAGTCAATGATGGCCTTGACAAAGAAAATTGAATTATTAGATAAGTTAAAAGAGGGGATGAATGCTGCAGGCTTGTCTGTTGTCCATCTTCCTTACTTGTAGTGTCTTCCTCACCCCATCCTTCCATCTCCTCTCCTTCCGTCTGAATTACACTACAGTATTCTGTTCTATATACAATTTATCGCAATAATAGTTGTTGATGTCTCGGTATGAAGTCTTTCTGTAAAATGCACAATAAAAAATATAATTTATTACAATTATTGATTGTGATTATACTTCATGTTTGCCATTGTACAGGATCTTGTTACATAACCCATTTATTATACTATATTGTACAGAGGGATTCACAAAGATGTACATTAATTTACTGGATATATTCTTGGGACTATTGTAAGCCACATTGTAGAATATACAAGAAAGATGTTGAGGTAATGATAGTGAGATTAGAGTGATACAGTCATGGAGTTTTGTGTACTTTTATGTATGTAGCTGTGCACAATGTTATACAGTTGTGTTATTACAGTAAATGTTCATAATTCCCTACCTGCCACTGTATCATGTTGTGTAGAGTTTACGTGCGTAAAATTATACAAAACTGTACGGCTGTTTCACCCGAATCTCACTTATCATTACCTCATCATCTTTCATGCGTTGTAGCTAGCAAACTATGCAGATTCCAGCATTTTATTATACTAGTGTGTGTATATATTGGTTTAGAATGGCCCTAAGCATACATTCTGCAATTTAATGTACACTCCCTAAAAGATTATTATTATTATTCATCTTGATGGGTTTATACAATATGACACACGTGACTAAGAAATCTGATAACACTAGTCACGGCTTCTGTCCCAGTGATCATTGCGGAAAGTTTCAGAGTCGAGGGTGTGGAATATTATTTTTAGCGAGCGTACATCTTTCTGAATCGCCCTGCACAGGTATAAGGGTTATGTTGATACTCATGTGATTTGTGTCTTGCTTAAGGTATTTCATTACTCAATTTCCTACATGTGAGAATTTACATATGTAACGAAGGAAAGGGTCTGTAAATAAATTGTAAATATATTGTTTTAGAACTTGATGTAAATTTTATGTATGTGTGAGAATAATAATTTTTTTCCCAATCTTTGTAAGGTCTCTTTTTAAAATTGACCTTTTCTTTCTTTATTTGTTACGTACAGTGAGAATAAAACCTTTCCCACTAAATTCCCTGGGCAACATGGAGAACATACCAGCTCTTATCAGTGCAGTATGCAGGTCATCAAAATATTTTACTCCCTATGGTTCTTCCAAATGTATCTTTGAAAGGTCTCTTGCCATCGGTAAAAAATCTAAAGGGGTAAGTGGAATTAATATAGTTGAATTTTGGGTATACACATCCAGTATTTTAATGTGTCTGCTGATCCATGTCATGTATACTGTTCTCTGTTTTGCAATAGAGCCGGGTTTAGTAATAGAAACTCCTTCAGACACTTCCCATGTGAGAAATCTTGAAATGCTTTTGACTAACACTTCCTGAAATGATATTTCATGGCCAACCCTAGGAGCAAGTGTCTCCAGTTAGTCTTTGTGTTGAAACTTCAGGTAAACATTTAAAATAAGTGGTATTTTAGGGGGCTATAGTTACAATGATGAAGGTTCATAGATCATTTAAATTAGTCCCTGCTACTTATACCAGATCTGCATTCTAATATAATATGTAGTGAGGATGTCAGACCCGTGCTTAGCCATTGATGGGGACATGTATTGTACATTTTTCCTGTATCCTCCTTCTTTTTATCTTACAGAGAGATGGCAGGTTTATAGGGCAGGGTATGGAGCCAATAAAGGAATTTGGTGTAAAGTAAGTACAGTACTGTGCTAATTTTCCTCATTCAGAGAAGATAAATGGTATAATGTACTGTAGTTGATTATTAGTAACTTGTACTTGAGAATAGTTACTCTATCACTTTAGCTTTATGAGACATCGCTGTGACTGATATGATTATAGTTGGGTTTTTCTCAGATTTAATAACTAAATTCTGTCTTCTTCTTTTTTATATCATGAAGTTTTGATAATGAAGATCCAACCAAGGAACAAAAAAAAGAAAGGAAGAAAAATAAAATAAAAAATTTTAAGCTTCCACAAGGGGAAAATATTAGAGAACAAGAGGAAAAGAAAATTAAAGGAGAAAAAAGAAAAGAAAAGGAAGAGGACCGGAAGAAAGTGGTTAGTGGTGCACTTAAGAAATGTAAAGTTTACGTGTGTGTGTGTGTGTGTGTGTGTGTGTGTGTGTGTCTAGTAGTATGAATGAGTGGGGAGAAGGAAGGAAAGGGGGGTCAGTTGTGTATAAATTTTAGTATACTGTATTGTCTTTGCTCGTTGTTTAGCTATGCATCACATCTACATAACCACCAGTCAGAAAGTTGTTTCAATGTTTTACCCAATGTTTTAATTCCACACTTTTGTAAATTCATTGTTCGAGCGTAACTTTACTCGAAGGGTAAAGTCGTGGATGGCTTTTATTCAGTTCTCTCAGATGTTCCTCACTATTTTCTTATCATATGCAGTAATACTTTTGCAATTTGGTTGGCTGCTATGAGAGGCAATGACTTCTATAGTACTAATTACATTGGGTCATATGCAGAACTTATTTACTTGACTTGTATCCCTCTCATCTTTAAGTTTGGGAATCATACAGGAAAACCCACATTTCCTTGCCTGGTGCCACACTGTCAACTATTGTGAGTTAGGACCCCCATTGATAATGTTGTGTGAGTTCAGGAAGTTTTATGGGGTGAGGAAGTTACTTTTAAATCTTTGCAATATCTGTGCCAGTGTGTGTGTGATGACTAAGGAATAGAAATTGTCCTTTTCTTTATTTAAACAGAGCTTATTGTTGCATAGTTATGGTTCCACATGAGGAGGATTTACTCCCATTAATTATGCTAAGGATGTACAGATTGAACTACGATCATAATTATAATAATTAAACGTGATTCAATTACAATTATTTTGTGTATAATCTTTAGGATAGTTATTAAATATTATCTCATTATTATTTCCCAGGAATTCAAAAGAGATGAAGAAAGAATCCTGATGCCCAGAAATGTATTCCATGAAACATTACGAGAAGGACGGAGGTAAATCTGGTTGTATTATTTATTTATTTGAAAGATGTATAATTTTGCCTTTATTATTTATCCTCGTATTGGAAGAAATTTAACTACTGTACTGGTGCATTTGTTTCTTTGGCAGATTTTACGATATTGGGCAGTACCGGCAAGCCATAGAAGCTTACAGTAGAAGTTTAGTTTATTGTTGCCCGGACGGTGACACAAACTCTGTTGTTGTGAGTATCGTGGAAGACCTCTTGTGTTAACAGTACAGGTTTGTGTTGCTTTAATTGGATATACAGTATAAGTTTTAGGTGAGATCTGCTAAAATTGATGAGTAAAATCCCGAATTGAATCTGAGGGTTAAGAGGGTATTTTGACTAGGTGAGGTAAGTTAACTTGATTATTTAAATAAATCTCATTATAGTGGCATTCTAGATGTGAGCTTAGGTTAGTTTAGGCTCGAGTGAGAGTAAATAGAGGACTTGAGTAAAAGCTTTGAGATTATTGTAGGAGTGAGGTATGACTGTGCGGTGTCCCCATGATTATACAGTACGTACATTGTAATTATGGATGTAGTGGTGAAGGCAAAGATGGCTTGGGCAGAACTTGAGCTTGAAAATGGGGATGTTGCCACTGGTAATCTTGATGATGTCATGCTTTCACAGAGAGCGAACAAGAACAGCCAAATAATGGTTAATGTATTTAATAGGGTGTGTGCTAGAATATTATTAAAGGTAAATGTTTGGTAGGGAATTTTTTTAGAGAAAAGATGACTATAGTGAATATTGATAAACCATATTGCATTGAAGAGTCTAGAGAAAGGTAATGTAGAATTATAATGATGAGATACTGGAGGAGCTTCAAGATTTCAAGTGTTTGGGAGAAATATTAAGTAAGAACTGATCATTTGAGAGAATAATACTTGGGGAGGAGAAAATGCTGCTGGAATATAGCCTTTGAAGTAAAGAACGCTCTCATGAAATAGTATCACACTATCTGTACCTTAACTTGTGATGATGAAGCATGGACGTGGAATGGAGCAGAATGTTCTGAAAATCCATGTAATGCAGATGAATTACCCAAGAGCTTTATGTAGGGGTCCAAAACAGAAGGGGTAAGATTATAGGCTCACAAAGATGGTATGGATGCAGAAGGAGAGGATGTGGAGGGGCAGTGTAGTAGGTGTGTTGAGTAGAGAGACTTCCTGTATGAGAGAGAAAGATGAAACAATACAATGAGGAGAGGACAGGGGAGGGGATATAAAGAGTGGAGAAAGCAAAGGAAGAATGTCATGATAGGGTGACTAGGAAGTCTTGTCATGGCTCCCTGGAGAGGTGAGGTGTTGTAAGACTGTTTGTACAAGAGATCTGGAAAAATTAATGTATTTTTTATTTCAGAATGAAGGTAAGGAGAGGGTAAATGTACAAGTGATCCAGTACGTGGTAGGCACATGCAAGATTCAGTCTGGCCGAGGGTATATCCTGGATGGAATGGAGATTATGAAGGCATTATCTGAGGATGACAGTAACTTCTCAAGTAAACCTGCTGCACATTACTGGCTTGGTATTGGCTATGAAAAAATATTTTTGTAAGTTATTGCCTGGATTATGTTGCATAAGACATTATCACTGTCAGTACAGATGAGACTGTTGTTTATATTTGATGTAGTGCATATTAAGTTAGTGATAACATAGTGTGATACTAGAGGGATGTATTTCCCCCACAGATATAAGATGGCCCACTATCATGCTTGGGCATGTAGAGAGGCTTTAAAAGCACAAAAAGATTTAGAACCTATCAAGTGGCCCGGAAGCGATGACATTATCGTAGAGACCGTCCCAGATACATTACGGGTGAGTACTGTACTTGTTAATGCATTACTGTATCAACCACTTTTCTCTTTTGGTAATATTGAGTTGTTTTTTAACTGCTTCTTTTGCTTTTGTTGTACAGCTTATGTTTTAGAAAATGTACTTTTATTATAGTAAAGTTGACATTTTCTTATTGTTTATGCAGTTGTATAGTAGGACCTTGAAAACTCTGAAGGCAGTATCCAGGAATAATACTGTATATAGAACTCAAGATGTGTTTAGAATATGTACTTTATAGACAAAATTATCATGCCAAATTATTCATATCCTGTCACTAGATGGACAATACTGTAGGGTCTCAAAGCATGCCAGGGTTACATTCCTGGGATCTCCACTTAAGTGTGAATTTGTGTATATTTGGGTCTCCCCGGTACATATAATCCCATTTTTATACTAAGGTAACCGATGCACTCCTAATAAGTTCAACATCTTGACTTCTTCAGAACTTCTCAGAGTATGGGCTTTTTTCTTTTTCTCACACGCCACCACGAGCACTTCCGCTAATTTTCCTCCTGGGGGTTATGGTTGTGGTAAAATTCACCTGTAGATAAAAACTTCTTCAGCCAGACGCCTAGTGTGAGAGAGAGGACGTCAGAGTTATGTTATGGTTCTTTTACAACTCGTACTTTTGGATAGATATGCATAATTTATTTATATTTATTTATGTATTTTTACTGTTACATGCACACACAATCTTTCATACAGAATGTGCAAAAAAGAAAAATACCATAAGGTTAAAAAACATAAAGGGAATACACATTTCTTCACGCTGTGGGAGTTAGCACGCACAGTGGGGGAGGGGGAGTGGCGTGAGGGATCTCGGCTGCTCGTTGTCTCCCGTGTAATGAAATCATAACCAAATGGCAGTGCAGATTTTGTATTATTATTATTTCAGTACTGTACTTACATTTACTGATACAGTAAGTATTATTTTATTGTATATTATATTTTCTTTATTTCTAAGCACATGGTAGAGAATTGTAATGATTTTATCTACAGTATTTTTGTCTCAAACGAGCGCGGACAAGTGATGAATACGCTGAGCTTTCGTGGGATACTGGGAGGATTGGTTCATGAGAGAGCTAGACCCAAGTGTGAGGGTAGTTTACGGGGGTGAGACACATGGCCGCGTACTGTGGGTACATGTACCCTGGAACCGTACTGTATCTGCTTGTGAATTAGCCAGGCTTATGGTGTTACTCTTATACTGTTCTCAAGACTGTACTTGTATATATGAGGAACAACCCAGTTTATCATTTGTTGTTCATGGTTGTGACTTGCTCGAATGAAATGACAGGGTTTATTTATACAGTACTTATACATGCAGTGTATAAAACTCGAGATATGTTTAAGGTATTCATCATACCACAATATAATTTACAGGACTCGTCAAATTTTCATTATATAAATTTCGGATACAAAGGTATGGATAGTGTTGAAGTAAAGGATCATATGTAGGCCAGCTGGGTCATTTGTTTGTTATCAGATATTGTGAACAGGAAATCAAATAAAGAAATTAACATTTTTATTGAGAATTTGGGACCAGTCATTGGAGTGGGACGTCATTTTCACTGGCTACCTTAAGGACAAGTGGCCAAGGTAGAAAGACCTGGGAGCAATGTTTCAAGAATTGTAATTGTTCATTGTATTGGTGTACAGCTGACAAGTAGAATTTTCATTCAGTCAAAGTTGTTTTATGTTGACAGGACCACTAATTTAAGTATGCCTATTTCACCTTATTTCTCTACTGTCCTTTATAATCAGTATACGGATGCTTCGTGTCTTTAAGGGGGCGGGAGCAAAGGGGAAGTGACCTTGTTCATAAAAGTAAATACAGTAATTCATAACTCCAGTTTGCATTTGGTACCAACATTTCCAGTTTTCAGAATGTGTTTTGACTTTGGTTTATTTGAACAGTAAGATTTTATATTTATTTTATTATCTTTGTTTCACATATAATTGGTTAATGTTTGTTACATCCTTTTGGTTGGTAAAGTTGAATTTGTTACTCTGTAGACAAGCATGATATTGTAATATTGGTCGGTGCTTTGCAAGATGCATGCAGAACTTTGCCTTATGTGTGTGAAAGGGCGCCTTGTTATGAATTTACACAGTATTTAATACGGCATACAAAGAAGACGATATTTTATAACACGACTCCAGTTTAGAGTGACTCATAAATGTGCAACCAGGCTATTTGAGAGGCTCTTCTTGTACAGCACTTTATCAACTTTTAACCCCTCATTTTGTCTTGTCTTTTGCTTGAGATATATTTGGGGTATATTCATTAGTGTAGGGAGCCAACTCTTAAAGACCTATGGTGATGCTCCAGGTGTCAGGATATGAAACACAAACTGCCGTCAGAGTAACAACATACACACACTTCTCATTTGTATATACAGTATTAGTATTTCATTTTATGTGTATTTATATATATCTTTTATAAGTGTTTCTGTACCAAAAAAAATCTGCTTAAGTACAGTACTTCTAAAACTCCTGATGAGGCACACATCCTCCACTAATGCTTTGTTTCTTAAGGGAAAATTAGTTTCTCATGTTATAATATGATGCATCACAAGAGTTTTCAGGAATAGATGTCCAGTAATAAATGAGGACTAATTGTACAGTAGACCCTCGATATAATGAATCAATACATTGAACTTTGTATTTCAATTGGAAATATTGGGCACGGAGCTTCAGTCAGAGGCTCACCATAGAATTCCTCCGAGACATTTTCTTCGCCAGACCGACTTCTCTCGCCACACATTTCTAGGACATGCTCTGAAGGTTGAGAATAAAATTTTAAAATATATTCAATGAATCAAAGAAATGTTAAAAAATGTATTTGATGAAACATTTAACAAATATTTCATGAATCTCTTAAATGACAAATTCATAAACATTTAACCCCTTGAGTATTGTCAGTGACTTAACCTCTTGAGTATGATGACTTTTAACCCCTTCTGGTCGTGGATCATCTCACTGTGTCTGTGGCTCTAGGCATCGTGTATAAATGTAAGCTTGGCTGTGCTACGCCATCTATGGAGGCATGAGGGAAACTTTGTCTTGTCATCTGCTGCCTAATACTGTAATCACTTGTACCCCTGACATCTTGGTGCTTTGAGTGGTAGAAGAAGCACTTGAGGAACACCTAGGGATCTTGAGGTGTTGGTGGGAACTGTCAATTGTTGCTCGTGGTTAAAAGTAACTAATGTCCACAGAACTCAGTAGTTGATGTGTAGCAAGCGTGGCTGGCTGTGGCTGACATACCTGTGCTGCGCTCTAGTGAGACAGAGGAAACTTTTGCTTATTGTCAGCTGATAAAAATGTGTTACATTTGAAGTTACTTAAATTTCTGGGTTTACACCGCATAATGAAGGGGCCTGACCGTGTGATAAAGAAAAATGGGAGTAATTTAGGATGCTGCAAAATATCGAAAATGAAGAACTGTACTGTATTGAAATGTGAAATAACGAGGGTCTACTATTTAAGTAAATTTGTGTTTGGTGATTACATTGTTTATTTTTAGTAATTAAACAAGATTCAATTACCAGTTAGTGATCATGGTCTTTACAGTTTAAACAGTACAGTAATAGGATTATTCTACTTGACGTTCCTCTAGACAGACCAGTTTCAATTTTTAAAAGAAATCAAATATCTAGAAATAATATTGTTTTAAAATTACCACATACCTCTATGCATGACCCCCACACCTTCAAGCACACCCGCATCCACCCTAACCTAACCTACATCCACCCCCTCACCCTTACTCCTACCCACACCCTCAGTCTCACCCCCAACCACACCCTCAAGCATGCCCACATCCACCCTCACTCTCACCCCCCAACCACACCCACACTCTCACCCCTAACCACACACACGTGATTGTAGTGTGGATTGCTATTTCATGATAACATTGGCCGTATCTATCTCGCCAGGTGTTGGAGTAAATACAAATGAATCGTCATAAAAAATATGTACAGTAATAAATATCCAGGTTTAGTCCAGTACTTGCACTTCCTTGTACAGGTTTTGACTTTCATAGTGGTTCAATTATCCTCTAGTCTCAGAAATGTAGGTACAGTATAAATAAATATGTATTAATATGCTAAAAGGTTAATTTGAAGTTGTTTTTTTAAAGTTTTTATTGGTGGTGAGCAGGTTGAGTATGAGGTGATAATTGCCAGAGTGAAAATGTACCAGCCTCCTGAAGATGAAGCCTTAAATGTTTGGCAGTCTCTCCCTGTTGAGCGTGCCTTTGTAAAACGACTTGACAACATCCCATTGTTTTATGACAAACACAAGTTTTTTGAGAGGATTATTTACCTTCATATCAATGTAAGGATCCAGAATGTTCATTGATGATTATACTGACATAATTATATAGTTGGTAAACATGTTGGAATATCCCTAATTGTTGAGGTATGATAACCAACTTCAGCATTCAATCTTTCACGGTGGATGCCTCTTGCAGAAATCCAGTCGGGATATCTATGGTAGTTTAGCAAGAGGAGACATCAACAACGGCATCAAGGTTGTTTATTGTAACTGTAACTACGTGCATGTGGTCTAATGGTGCTTAATATCGCTTAACATTTCCCTACTCATCCTGTTTAAATTAATGAGGCATTACAAAATATAATACTATATAAATGTCTTATATATAGCCCAGCTGATTCTTGGTTAATTTTGCTTATAGGTTCAATACTACGGCTGTGTTTTGTGAGCTGCAATAATTTCACCCATGTTGCTAATGCTGAAGTAATTTACTGCTTTGTGTCCTTTTATTTATCATTGTATGGGAGTGGCTGCCTACGGGTAGTTAGTTTTATTTGTAATTCTGTACATGAATTTATTTACTATGGTGGTAAGGAACTCTAGCTTGACTGTTTTATCGGGCCTCAGCTTTTTAATTTGGACTTGGACAACATTTTATTTATTTATTTATTTTATTTATTTTTATTCATTTTTTTTTTTTTTGCATGTACAATGGAAATCCAAGATGGTACTTGGTGAAAAAAATAAATAAAATAAATAAATAAAAATGCTGGGCTATGCTGCCAGAACACAGTACAGTATGGAGAAGGCAAGTTCTCCTATAACCAGCTCCAATAAGTATACTCTACAGCAAACTCCTATCATAACAAATGTGTAATGTAACGAATATCCCATATCTCTGAGAAGCAAAGTATTGGTGACCCAACGGAAAGCGCAAATTTATCTTCTCGTGAAAATCAAGTGTTCCGAAATCTCAGTTAACGCTTCCTATTTAATGACACTCATGTTCATCTCTGTATTAGTTCTTAATATATTTAGAAAGATTCAGCAAGTGTTCTTTTGTGTAAACTACAGTACAGTAATGAATGTTGTTTACCATTTCTCCCAATAATTCACTACTGTACTGTAATCTACTAGAGCTCAGGAGCCCTTTTGATACACAGGATTTTGCTGTACTCCTTCATAACTTTCTTGGCTAACCTTAGGATGATAAAATATGGACTTCAAATTTGATATTGGTAACACAAAAGGGCAAAGTAAAAACTGCCAACTGGATGTCAAGGAGGAGACATGTTTAATTATTTTAAGACATTTGTAAAAGGATTCAAGTCCATGGTGATATTCATTTTTTTTAAATATAGACCTTGATTTTATTAGATGGTGGTTTTAGCCATTTTTTAAAGCATTGACTGAAAAAAATAAGTCCCTGTGCCATCTCACACTGTCATTTGCATTCTGTATTGTAGTCACTGTAGGGTAGCAACTTGGTCTGATGAACCTTTTATCATCTGCACATTTTCCTACTAATGAAACTTCTCTTCTCTCACATTTTTACCAAATTTAAGTATAGAAGAACTGCTTTTTTGTACTGATTATAAAATCCTTTAGCATGTATTTAATTTTGTATGTGTGTGTCTTGGATACAAAGGTAAGATGAATGGTTGTCAAGAGTGTACACTGCCTGAATATATACCCTTTGTATATATACGGAATTACACCCAATAAGAATCCTCAACGCCACTCTGCCCTTTTAGTGCTTGTGTTGCCTCCACTGTCGTCTATGTGTGTTTAGTTCAGTAGCCAAAGGATTGTTAGCTTTTGAAACTCTTGATATCTTAGCTGTATTTTCTCTCATGACACCAGATAAGTAATTTTTCTCATGATATCAGATAAGTACTTTCATGACACCAGATAAGTACTTTCTCTCAGACACCAGACAAGTACTTTCTCTCATGACACCAGATAAGTACTTTGTCATGATACCAGATAAGTACGTTCACATGTTTTCATACAAATCATAAAATATATTAACTCTTGTACTGTATATTTTCCAACAGGATAGCAGCAAAGAGCTTATTGGCCGAGCAGCTTCCATAAGGCCTACACCCAAAGCCAAGTGCCGTTTTAAAGACTGCATAAACATTCAAGGTCACAATTACGCAAAGGAAGAAATCTACCTTACGTAAGTTTGCCGTTTTGGCCCCTACGAAGTTAACACACTACACAAATGGCGTTTCTGGTTTGGTTTGGGGTTATTTCTTTATCAGCGGCTGTAAGTTTCTTAAGGCGTTTATCTTAAGTGAGTTTGGCATTTTTTGGTGTCTACGTAATTATGAGATTTTTTTTTTTTTTAAGAGTTATCCTATGTATACTTAATGCTTTTGTGTGAATCATCATCTACAGGTAATATTTAGGTTTTTTCTTAAGATTTCAGGTATATTTAGGAATGATATGAAGAGATGGGAAGTGAAATTAGAGAGAAAACAATAGCTTCAGAGGGAAACGAAGAGGTACACCCTGACAGTGAAACATGGACTTGGATAGAGAGATGAGTTATCTTAGTGATCTACTCTGGTTACTGGGATAAAACTGAGGCAGGAGAGAGTGTAGTGCATGGGGTGCGATTGCATTATCATAGGAGGAGGTATAGCATAGAAGCCCTTCTGTCGTAGGTACACCCTCAGAGGAGCGCCTGAAGGAGGGAGGCATCGTGCATAAGATAGGTACCGTATATACTCTGTATATACTCGTGTGTAGTTCGAGTTTTTAAGATCAAATTTTTTGGCCAAAAATTGGGGGTCGACCTCTACATGGGTAATAGTTTTGTTAGGTTGAAAAATATTTACCAGTTACTGCCAGTAAACAATGGAAACGACGCACCACCAGCTATGAGTGTTGGTACAGTTGCCAGGGCAGATCTCTTGCGTCATCATAGCAAGCCCAAAGTAGCCAAATGCATGGTATGGTAGCACAGGACGATGTAAAACATAAAGTATTCATTTTTAAAAGTTCATTTATCGATACATCAATTTTTGTTCATTAAATTTGAAACATCAATCTTTGTTAATTAAATGTGAAACAAAAGAAAACTATGATACCGTGTTTCTGAATATTTTCATTCAAATATTACATCACAAGTATATTTTACCTTAACTGTGCCTGAATGAATATATTCTCAGAAATAAATATGGAAATGTAATATTTTTGCCGAAATGACGTACGTATAACAGTGGAAAGTGGGATAAAATCGTGACGAAAACAATGACTCGCTGTCTTTCGTAGAAAGATGTTACCATAATCGCTTTTTGAATGGTTTTCAGTTAAAAAACTGTTGTATTACAATAATACTCTCTCTTAATTCGCTTGAATAATACTACGATACCATATTTCTGAATATTTTCATTAAAATCCATCAAAATCATTTTCCTTGTCATCGTCTTCAGCACACAGTTGCCAGTTTCAAGATTTTCTGCTTAAAATTTTAAGTTACCGAGTATTTCTTTTTCCAAATCGTTTTACAGTACTGTAGGTAAAACAGTTTACTATTGTGCAAATGCCGCAGAAAAAAACAAAACAAATGGAGACACCAAAAGTAAATAAAAAATGCTGTGTCTGACTTGCAACACTGTTGGTAGGGTCAGGTGGTTCTAACGGCATCCTGCCAGGACCCGGTAATCAAATTTATAACAGTGTCTAACCTCAATTACTGTAGTCTATCTGATGTAGGCAATATGAAGTAAAAAATACCAGTTAAAGTGAGAAATTCGAAGAGAATAAACAAGAAAGATGTCGTTGGGCTACTTTTGGTAGGGCTGAGGGAGAGAGTACCAGCTGTTTGGTCTTTTTTAGCGGGAGAGTCATGCAAATATCCGTACTGGTATTTGTTTGGTGTCATCTGTATTTTTAAAAATGAGTACTTGTAAATTAAAAGTACCGTAACATTGTATTATATACAAACTTGTCATATTTCTGAAAAATAAGAAGCAAGAAAATAAGAATATACCGGTAAACACAATTTCAACGTACGCTAATATTAAAGGCTGCTTAAGAAGGGCTGGTGCAAGATGCAAAAACAAAGCCTCTGTGACCAGGGCTCTGCAGTATCAGCTAGACGGTACACTTGTTTTTCAAATCGTTTTCAGTTAAAAAACTTACATCACAAGTGAATTAGGATGGAATATTATTTTAATACAAGTTTTTTTTTTACTGAAAGCCATTCGAAAAGCGATTCCGGTAACGTCTTTTGAACGAAAGAAAACGAAAGTCATTGTTTTCGTCATGATTTTATCCCACTTTCCACTGTAATAAGTATGTCATTTCAGCAAAAATATTACAATTCCGTATTCTCAGAAATAAATAGTAGTTTTGCTGAAACATAATGTATTTCAATGTAAATTAGGATAACTACATGAAAACAAAAGACTTTACCTAACCTTCCAATGTTCAAGATATGTTACTCAATTTTTTAATAGTTTTTGGTTAAAATATACTGTTATATTAGTGATATTCTATTCATACTGTGCTTGATATAATACATTCACGGAAATGTAATATTTTTGCTGAAATTACGTACGTATTGCAGTGGAAAGTGGGATAAAATCGTGACGAAAACAATGACTTTCGCTTTCTTTCGTTCAAAAGATGTTACCGTAATCGCTTTTCGAATGGCTTTCAGTTAAAAAACTGTTGTATTACCGGGTACAATAATATTCCCTCCTAATTGACTTGATTAAATACTTGAATGGAAATTTACAATATTTTTGTTGAAACTACCTGCCTTCGGCACTCGGTGTTTCATGCACAGCGACCCTCAGTTTATAGGATGTAAGAGTGTTTTTACTGAAGGTTTTGTTGTTCCATTACCCTCAACAGCTTTGGTCGACCTATAAATGATGAATATCACAAATTAACGATTTCTTGGTAAAAAAATCAGGGTCAACCTATAAAAGAGGGAGGTTTATAGACGAGTATATACGGTATTATTATTATTTCACACCTGGGTCTGGATTCAAAAGCAAGCAAAACCCTCATCAATATGTTATTCACTTTACTGTAATGTTTCCCTTTCACAACACAGTACAGATTTTTTTTATTTTTCAAGTTCAACACAAGATTCAATTTTCTATTCTTAGTTTTCTTATATTGTGTTGTTAGCCCTGTATTAACACTGAATGACTCTACATTACAGTGATCCAGACTTCAAGGGATTTTTGGATGTAATCTGTGAGGAGTTTTGTAACATTAGCTACCATCCATGTTGCTGGAAGGCCCACAAGGAAAGGTTTGAGGAGGGGATTGGACGAAAATCTGATAAAGTAAGTATGAAACAATATCCACGTGTACTGGTTAGGTTAGGTTAGGGGCGTGTATGTGTTTTAAGACATGCTACCCACCTCCTGCCCTCCTTGTTTGCTTCTCATAGTTAACTACAGTATAGTCATCCTTGCCTACTATTCTCTGCTAACCTGCCCCTAGCCATCACCACTGCTTGTATGACTGGATGTAACACCAATGTAGTTCATATATTGTGCATGTATTAGCTGCTTTGATCTTGACTCCTTAAAACTTCCACACCTCACCATTTTGTTCTTTCACATTGTCTTGATTTTCTCTCTCTCTCTCTCTCTCTCTCTCTCTGTGTCTGTGTGTGTGTGTGGGTTCCTAATCTTAACTCATCTGTATTGATTTCTCTTTTTTTTCTATATCTCCATATTATCACTCAAATGAAAACAAAATATGCTCTCATTTTCTGTTATTCATTCTTGTCAGTACACTACTACGTATATGATATATTAGAATGGCAATTGTATATAATATAAAAAGGGTAAATGATTTGAAGGATGATATAAAGGTTCAATGGTATAGGTAGAGAATATATGTTCTTAAATTCTATCTCTCTTAATTTTACAGGATTTCATAGGTTTAGACTGTATAACCCCAGACTGCACCGGCAAAATTTGTAGCATCCGAATTTACGATGAGACAGGACGACTCAAGAATGAACTCGTAAAAGATAAGAAGGAAAGGAGAAATGGAGCCGTAGTGTTGAAACCGAAGAAGAAAAAGTAAGTGTTCGTTTACCATCAATAGATCAGCTCAATAGGATTGTGACTGTGGGTTAATTTGCAGTGTAGTGTAGATTATATATATTATCATGGGCTGCAGAAGATAATTTCTTTTATGATATCCAGTAACTTTTCCCATGATTTTAATTGCCCCTTTCTCCCTTCCCCCCACACACAAAAAAAGAAAAAATAATAATACAGATAAAATATAATAATTTCATATATTATGGTTTACACAGGGACAAAAAGAAAGAGAAGACACAACCAACAAAAGGTGGTGAAGCAAGAGAAAAGAAGAAATCCAAGAGTGAAAGCATCTCTGAGGATGTACCCACTACTCAAGAGGTAATCCATCTTGTTTACTCCGGTCAATGAAGTAATAGGATAAAAACCCTCGATAACTCGGCATGTGTGGGTCTCTGGCCTCGCCGGGTTATCGAGGGGTTACTGTAGAGGGACAACGCTATGATCGTGCTCTACGTTTATAGAAATTAGACTATTTATAGCAACAAATAAAGGATATGATTTGTATGCCTTTAACATTTGGAATAAATAGTGGTAGGGGTGTGTGTGTGTGTGTGTGAAGGCATAGAATCCTCTTGATTAAGGTAAACTGGAACCAAATTATTAATATCATAAGTTATTTGAATGAATGTCTCAGTCTTAAATTGTATTGATTGAGTGGTTTAGCTATATGACAGATTTGTGAATACAGTATAGACAGAAGTTTCGTTGACTATAAATTTTTTAGTTTTGTTAGACAATTTAATTATCGTAGCTTATAAGTTTTTGGGTGTCGGTTATAATTTATATACGAGTAGTAAAGTATTATGGCAGTGTGGAAGTTTTTTTTTTTACTCTATTTGTGGCTGTTCTCAAGATGTATGTAGTAATACCGTAAATTGCGGCGTATAAATCGACCACAAGATTATTAGTTCAAAATTCAGGTTTAGTTCTATACTTGCCATATACGTCGACCCCCCCAAGGCTCAAACATAGGCGAAAGTGTGTAATAAGGTCACGCCACTTTCATCAAGACACTTACCGTAATACCTTTCAATATTTGATATATATTTGTAGTTCATAGAAAAAGGGAAGTGGGCAACAGGATCTACATAGGACAGCCAGCAACCGCTAAAAATCTTCAGTAAGTTATATTCATAAGAACTCTGGTAAACACCAAGCCAAAATCAGCATCTCCAACAAAATAGTAATTGTTTACACAGCATACCAGTATAGCACCTTGATAGTACAATCTATAAACAGTATGATAGTAGAACATTATGGTACACCTGGCTTACGATCCACCATTTGCATCAGCTGTTGTAAACAAACTGCCAGTGGCGCCACCAACACCAAGCGGCCAGCTGCGAAACTATGGGTCCGTTACAATGTCGGCAGAACGGCTGTTTGAAGAGTTTGCAAACGCAACAACTTTCAGCTTGAAACCTGCGTCATATTTCATCCTTTTATTGCTGGGGAGCCGTGGGTATAAGATTTTTTCAACTGTTGTCAGGTTGGTGTGTGGGTAATGAGTGGATGCCAGCAAGAACATAAAGCCACAATGGTTTAGTAAATTACCAGTGTAAAGTTGTTCAGTGTATCCCCCAAACACTGAACAGTGATTCGGACCCATATGCAGACCTCTTTATGTTAGACGATGAACAGCCAGCAGACTTTGAAGCATTTTAAAATGTGATCATGCATGCTTTTATTGTCGATAAAATATAACTGAAGTAAAATTAATCTTGAAGTTAAAGTTTTTTACTTTTTATCTTAGGGTTAAGGTTTTAATTACGGTGTCATTGTGTGTATATTCAGTAAACTGCCATTATGAATCATTAAACTGTCGTTACCCCTGTAGTGTATGTGAACTCACAATCTATAGCGCCATCATATAATTGCTCAGATGGCACCATATTGTAGTACAGGGTAGTTGTCTGGCTGGCCGCCTGGGTTGAGTGGCGTTCTGATCGATTGTTTACTGTCTATCAGCTGTTGAAAATGGCGTGTGGTGTTGTGTTGGTTTAATTATACTGGAATTTACTATTTTATTATAATCTCTTATGTTAAATAAGTTTACCAAACATGAATTTCAGTAGAAAACATTAGCGGCAGGCCGCGGGAGTTACGCTAAATGATGCAGTGTTAGGCAGGCTGTTCCACTTGTTTACCACTGTGGTACAGCTTCACATTTTACTCAGAGTATAAGTCGACCCCTGGTTTTGGAGAGATTTTTTCAAGCTTAAAATGTTGACTTTTATGCCACAATTTACGGCTTATAAGTATGATGTCATGCATTTGTGTATCATTTTTGTAGGCATCTACAAGGCCTGAAGTAAACCCTGATAAAGCCACCACCACCAACAGCAGCAATGTGAACTCTGACAAGGAAAGGCAAGTTTTGTTCTCATTGAAAATTCTGCCTGAGTTGATTGAATCATAAAGTGTTACATTAGCTAATGATCATCTGAAATGTTTGTTTTTGAAAACTGTTGGAAATAAGGTTACAGGTAAAGGTTTGTATTTGAAATAAGATGTTAACTAATGGTTTCAGGTCATCAGTACCAGTGCCTTCCAATTTGCCGATTGATCCAGAAAGTTTAGACAGTTCAGCCGTTATCATACTGAAGCCAACGGCTGGAGAAGAAGACGTATCTCTTACCAAACCTCCAAAGAAAAATAAAAAGAAAAACAAAAAGAATAAAACACCAGCTCAACCAGATCTTATTGGGGACCCATTAGAGACTGACCAGAGTGTACAGTAAGTCTCATTTTTTTATGCCACTATTTGTCTTTTGCATTGACACCGTAATTCCCATTGAAACATTGCACACTTTTTATTTTATCCAGTTAAAAATGTTCACCAGTCTTGCTTTCTTGAGTTACTAAGCAGGTTTTTAAAATTATTATTGGGAACTAACTTAGTTTTAACACTACATTAGAAATGATGGATTAATATATAATTAAAATACTATACTACATACAGATGTTGTTTGTGTGTGCATATGTGGAGTGAGTGAGTGGATACAGCACTCACCCCCTGTTCCATGGGTTGATGGTTTGATTCCCTGGCGCTCCCAGTTCACCCAGCTGTAAATGGGTACCCAAGTTGGGGAAGTGAAGACGGTCAAGAGCAGTACCGGCCATGCTGCCTCCTTGTGTAGCGAAGGCTTAGTATGCGGTGTGCTGTATCCATACTGTTCCTAATGTGCAGTCATGCTTATGGGACCCACTTTCACTGTCAAATATAGGGAATAGTAGTAGTATATGTGATGTCTTGGAGACTAATTCGTATAAAATGCACAATATTATGTTGATTATCATGAAGCTCTCTTGCAGAAATGAGTACCTGTCTCGATTACGAGCTCTCAGACAACAGAGAGAGGCCTTGGAAGGAGACATGAGCACCCCACGAAAAGCCACCAGCTTGAACCTCAGCGCGGTATCAAATGACGATATTCGGAAATGGGTCAGTAAATTTATCTTTGTATATTTTATGCTGGGTTGTGTGGACAAATTTACAAACTTTTATTACCCAAATATATATACTGTGGTTCTATCATTCTTAGAGTTTTCCATATTCTGTACATTGAACCCTTGTTAATTTGATATCTTCATCCTGAAATATAGAATTGTGAATATGTAATTTTGAGGGTTCAGTGTGTATGTTTGTGCTCAGATTTACTAATTTTTTTTTATTTGAACTTGGGTAAACAGATAGATCCAAACAAACCTTTTTACATGCCCCGGCACCTGAGAGACAACCCACAACAACTGGAATCCATCTTACAGACCAAAATGAAGACCACTACCTCTACAGATCTCTCAAAGGAGAGTATTAATACACTTTTAGAGTAAGTATCTGCTGCTGATTATAAAGAAGTTGTATAAATTTACCACAATAAGTCTTATAATCCCACTGCATAGAATTATTTTATTGAAATATTGTAGCAGTTTCTACTTCAAGGAAACTAGTTATTTCCCCGGCCCATTTTTTGTTATATTCCTTTCAGCTTTATGTATGATTGGTTGAAGTCAGAAGGTCCAATGTCCATCATTGATCCACGTCTGAGACAGTACGTTTCAGAGAATTTCCCCCCGGAGGCTCGTAATTATGTTCTTCAGTGTGGAGGAATTAAGGAGCTCCTCATGCAGTCTATTCAATTTGCCATGATTGATAACCTCATCTGTGTCAGGGATCACGTAGTCAAGACTCAAGATATGGCCTGCTCTGAAATCAAGGAGCGGATGATCAACCCTCGATATCTTATCAGGTAAAATTAGTCTTACCTTTCAGTTTGTGATGATGACAGAGTATTGTCAGTGGTATAAAATGTACCTTTTTGATTTTGGTTCACCAGAGTTGAAGGTACACGAGGTGATTGTCTGTCCTCCATTGCCAGTTTCTTCACAAAACACTTCTGAAATATGTTTAAAGATGTTCATGCTGTACTTTATCTGTAGCTTCTATTTATGTAAAGTATTAAGTAAATTAATGTTCTCCTAGATACAGTACAGCACATGTAATTGTTAAGAAAGTAAATAACAACCTGGTGTATTACTGTAGATGCTGATCATAGCCTTGTGAACCACCTGGTTTTTGTTGTATTGTGATAATGTATTTTTATTTGGGTTTATAGATCCTATTGTGTACACACACACACACACACACACACACACACACACACACACACACACACACACATATATATTTGTGGATTATTCATAGTGGCCGGCAAAGGAAGAGACTACAAAATTCACTGTTCTACATTGCGCATAATCTTGTAAGTGGGTCCCATTGGCCTGACTGCTTGACATGGTGTTGGGGCATTGCAAAATACTGATACTCTTCTATCTCATAATAGTATGTATATAATATATAATGATATATATGTTTATTAATAATAAAGATAAGAGCTGGTCTTTGGTTTCGCAGAAGTGCCAGTTCTTCTAATGACTTCACTAGTGCTCAAACAAAAAATACTACAAAAATAAAATATCATAAAAAGATAGTTCATATATCATTAAGTTGTAACACTTCCTAAACCAGGTTCAGTATATGTATATATATATTTTTTTTTTTTCTTTTTTAAGCGATGGCCGTAAAGCAAAAAAGTTCACTCACCTACTGGATGACACCAAGAGCTCATGTTCATCTGCCTCCTCAACCTCTCAGCTGGGGGGGTCTGGGATATCTCATGTCTCAAGAGGTACCTCAGACTCCACACCCTCTGTCTCCAAAGTGTCTAATGGAGAAGTTAACCAACCGAAGATGAACAAACCTCCTCTCATAAAATCAGGAGGTGGCTTAGAGGAGCTCGACACATTTGAGGTGAGATATATATACAGTACTGATATTGCCTCGAATTTTGTGAAAGACTTCCTTAGTGCACAGAATATGACACAGCAGTAGCATGTACAGTTTATCTATCACTGTTGAAAAGATTTAACCAGTGTTTTTAAACTATTTGTATAGAGCTACAGTTTGTCATATATTTAAATACCTCTAATTTCAAGGATTTTTTTATTATTATTATTACTCATAACAGTAATTATCTCTCTCTTCTCTTCTCTCCTATCTCCTCTCCCAAGCCAATATGTTATTAATTTTTATGTTTTTTTTATATATCCTCTAGTTACCAGAGTCTCTGTGTCTCAATCCCTCGGCACCAGAGTTTGAGCCTCGCATTAATGAGATGTCTGATGAGGAGGAGGAGGGAAATAACTTAAACTTGGGTAAGATGATTTGCTGGATGTTTTTAAATCTGTTTCCAAAGGCTTAGTACTCTCTCTCTCTCTCTCTCTCTCTCTCATGTCAATTTTCAGTACAGATTAATTAAGTCATCATATTAATACAGTTTTTATCGTAATTGTTAAGTACATTGTCTGTTTTTCTTGCTTGTTCGTCTCTACGTTGTATCATTTCATAGTTTAAGTAATTCCTCTTGAATGAACCTCTGTAATGCCTAATTCACATAGGAATGATTTACTGTACTTTACAACAACAGAAATGTGTAGTTACTGTGAATGGTTCTCGCATAATGTTATGGAAAGGAGAAACAAATTTATGGTTTATTTCAGCTGCTGCTACTATATACAGGGTCATTTATTTATTTATTTACTTATTTTAATTCAAAAACGTTAAATGATTATTATATTCTAGATTGTGCAAGAAACAGGAACCTAAAAATCTGATCTGATCTTTGTGAATCATCTAAATGTTTTTCACAATGATCAGATTATTATTATTATTATTATTATTATTATTATTATTATTATTATTATTATTATTGTTGGTGTTTAATGTTACTGCAGAAAATGGAAGTCAAGGTACTTCAAATTGGTCTGCACCTACAAGTGAGGAAACTCTCCAAGGTGATGTGATAAAAGTAAATGAAAAAGACAAGAAAGACTGGGGTACCGGAATGGAGTTGGGAGATTCAACCAGTGTCAATAATTGTGCCGATGAGCTCTTCCAGTCTGATGACGAACAGCAAGAAGAAGAGGAGGAAGATGATGATGATGATGATGATGAGGAACAGAGGGAGGTTGATAATGATGATACAACAGTAGATGTAAGTTAGTTAAAACCTTAATTCACTCATTTTCTGGCAGCTTTAAACTGTTCTCTCCATCCCTACCTTACCAGGATCACCAGTCACTCATTATTAGTTGTCCTCTCCATCCCTACCTTACCAGGATCACCAGTCACTCATTATTAGTTGTCCTCTCCATCCCTACCTTACCAGGATCACCAGTCACTCATTATAAGTTGTCCTCTCCATCCCTACCTTACCAGGATCACCAGTCACTCATTATAGTTGTCCTCTCCATCCCTACCTTACCAGGATCACCAGTCACTCATTATTAGTTGTCCTCTCCATCCCTACCTTACCAGGATCACCAGTCACTCATTATAAGTTGTCCTCTCCATCCCTACCTTACCAGGATCACCAGTCACTCATTATAAGTTGTCCTCTCCATCCCTACCTTACCAGGATCACCAGTCACTCATTATTAGTTGTCCTCTCCATCCCTACCTTACCAGGATCACCAGTCACTCATTATTAGTTGTCCTCTCCATCCCTACCTTACCAGGATCACCATATCAACCTGTGTGTTAAGCCAATGTTTGCGGGTTTATCTGTATATACTTTGGTTGATGTAAAGTACTACTGTAGCATTTTATTTTTATTTTCTAATGTGGAAAAATTTAGCCACGTAACAGAGGTAATTATATTCCACATAGTAGAATTCATGTTTATTTTACATTTTTCATGGATCATTGAATCATTTTTTTTTATCTGCTCATTGTTAGCTTTTCATGTATTGTTGAACATTTTATATAATTTTATTTATTTTTATAATTATTCAGCCCCACCAGTTTGAGAAGTATCTGCAGGAGGAAGTTGAAAAGTTGAGGCAGGATCTCTTCAGACAAGAGGATGAGAACCAGTCACTGAATGATAGACTATGTCAGGTCAAGTCCCAGAACAAAAGTGAGATAAATAAACTGAAGGAACAGCTGGAGGAACTCAAGAAGGACAATATGGTATGGCCAGAAAACACTTTATATTTCTTTCATTCTTTCTTTATTTACAACAGCATTAGTGATTTGGCCTTTTGGGGGGGGGGGATAATACAGTATCACTCTTTCTTATTCCATTTGAAATATTTACCTAAGAAAGTTCATGGTGGAACATATTGCTGTGAATAAACAAGATAGAACAGCATGACCATGAAAGAAATGTTACGTATATACAGTATAATGTTGTATTATATATGTCACTAATGGTATTAATTGAAACCTGTTGCAGAAACTTGAAATAGAGAAGCAGAACTTGGTAACATACAGAGAGACAGAGCTAAGGAAGTACAAGTCAGAAATGGCTCGCATGCAAGAGGAAGTCAAGACTTTTCAGACTCGAAATCAGTCGCTTGAGCTGAAGTGCGAACGTTCCAATGATCGATTTAATGAACTTCAAGCAAAATTGAGTGAAGAACAGTGAGTTATATATTAAAACTTTGTGGCCCTTGAGGAACTTAATAATATGGCCATCTGTAAATGAAATTTCATGTCCCATTGTACAAAACAGTGTACTGTATATGAATGGTTGATATGTATTTAGTAAGAGACAGTAGTTAGTAGTTCTCCTTTAATTATACTCATTCATTCTCCTGTGTATAGGGAAGTGAATATGCAACTGAGGGAGGAAATGAAGAACCTCCAAGAATCACTCACCAGCAGTTCCCGGCGGGCACATGAGGCTGAAGTCAAGTACATGTGTACCAAGAAAGATCTTGTGGAGGATCATCTCAACAGGTGAGGCTCAAATAAACATAACCATCTTTATTGATTGTCTTTCACATTTTGCATTTTGAAATTTTTGGAATATATGATTATTTTTCTTCTGCATTTTGATTTCCATTGGTAATACAGCATTGTTAATAGGTATTTTCTTTTAATATCCAATCTCTGTTTCTAGAGTAATTGCCCAACTAGGCGAAGAAGCCCAACACATGCGTCGTCTGTTGCCCCACGCAGCGGATGACACAATCCCAGACCGTACTGCTCTGCTACGCTCCATTGTAGCCTGGGATGAAACAATCAAGAACCTTAGTGATCAAAAGAGATTATTCATGGTAAAAAGAACTGCTTTCATGGTTGTTAGGTTTAACTTGTGCAGTGTAGGATATGAGACTCCTGGCAGGTGATCAGCAGTCGAGTATAAAAACAAGGCTCTCACTAAGCCTCCCTACTCAGATTGCTGTAATCCTTAATGAATATGTTAGATGGTTGTTACTATATTTCAAACTGACTAGGGAACAGTAGATAAGTATACCAATTTCTTATATATTTTTATAAGCAATAACGGGAACATTTTCAAAACTAAATATACATTATAACTGACTGTGTGCTTCAATGTTTTCAGGATGAAGGTGCGAGACTCCTAGGAATGGTAAATCAGGGACGTCCTCTCAATGCACTGCCCCCAGGGGACCTCCCCATACCTGTTATACCTACGATCAGTATAACACCTTTACTGAGCCTTGGCCAGGTATATAGTCAGATATTTGTAAATGTTTGGAGAGTTAGACAGAATACCCTGGGTGGTATTAACAGTTTCAGGTTGTAACGAATCAAGTTATTTTTTTTTCCTTTATTTACTATTTATTTCTCAGCTTTAATCTGTAATTCTTATATTTTCTTTCATATCTTTAACTCATACTGTTTTTTTTGTATAATATAGAGAGTGAGGTGGAAGAGGGGAGGACTGTATGTAGGTGAAGGAGGAAGGGTAGTGTAGGCCTGTTGCAGTCAGGTTGCCCCCACACCAAGACCAAGAGAGGGAAGACAATAATAACTACTGGAATAAGGATAGCATGCAATAATTTGGACACTTAGGGAAATATGTGATAGTTGTGTTGTTTCTCATCACTGCCTAACACAGACACAAGGGATCAACTGACAAATACTCTTAAACAGCTTCTCAATTTACATAACATGTTCTAAGAATGACAATTACACTTTAAAGAACCTGCACTCCTAGTTTACCACTCAGTACACTTACTTATACCTTCTCCTCCACCACATTCTCTATCCAAACAGAAAGAGTAAGAATTAGAGGTTAAAGTGATAAGAATCGAAGGAAAGAGGAGTAAGAAAAAGGAATTACTAAGATCTATAAATAAATAGTAAAGTGATAAATGACTTGAGTTTGTTATGCCATGTCTTAAAGATTACACCAGAAAAAATGAAACATATCACTGCATTATTATTTGTTCTCTCTGGTATTTATTTATAGGAATATATACAAAAATGTACTCGAGTTCATTGACAAATTCATGTGGACGGGTAACCAAGGAACAGTGACATTTATCTGTGTGTTTCATGCTGAGTAATTTATGAGCAATTGATACTATATTATTGTACAAAACATCCACACATCTGTCTTGTCTTCTCTAAGCTTGTATCATGATATAACTGGGAACAAGGGAGACTCTTTAATATCCCATCAGCTATTGACATCCATCTTATAAACGGTTAAAGTTTATTTTGTATTGATTACCTCTTTCAGCCATGGATGGGAAAGGTTTTTTAAGTGGATTAATAGATTATGACATTATTTTACAGAAGAATATAGTCAAGCCCGCCCCACCTGTTAACATTCCGGAGAACAGCCAAATTCCGGCAAGGCATGTCAGCTCCTCTCCTCATACACCACTGCAACCTCCCCCTTGTGTAGACCCACCACCACCAACAGGGATGTCACTCATGTACCCTCCCCCTGGTCTGGACAATCCTATGTTTATGCATAATGGTGCCACTGCTGCTGCTTTCAATAGTGGAGCCATACCAAAAACAAGTGTTAGTCAACCATCCACTACTCCTGGTAAGTATATTTAATCAACTTATTCCCACCTGAACAGGATAGATGGTGTACTGCTATAATCCCAACTGAATGGGGAAAAGTGTGACTGAAATTTGATTTGCAGCGACTGTATTTGATATGCTGTACTGTACTCTGTATAGTACTGTATTTATTATAAGTGAATATCACACTTTTGATGTTCTGTTGGTGACTGGGATGGGACAGGTAACAAACACCTTAATTAAGATGAGGTGGGTAGTGCGTAATTTAACTTGGACCTTCAATTGTTCACCCACTCTCATCGCCCAGTTATGGAAGAGTTTCACTTTATTCTTGTGGTAATTATATTGAAGTTTTCTTTCAGAAACTCCAAATAACACAAAGTGGCCAGACACTCACCAGTTGCTCATGGGACAACCTACGTGGGAATACAATGAAGGAGATGCCAAGGTACTGACATTATTGTTATTTGTTATACATTTTCAGGTTTTTCATTGCATTTTGTTCTACATAAATGTATATGTACTTATTTATGCTAAATGTGGATAATTGCTAAATAAGGATGATCCAAAATAGCTCACATCTCAGGCGCTAAATTATTCCATTTAGTTGTTTAAGACCAGAACCTCTCACTTGGTATACAAATATCTTATAAAACTTCAGCTGATCTATGTACTGTACATAATGGTCTCAGTGCACAGTTGTGTTGGCCTCTTACCCAACTCACTATGTCTTCTAGGTACTGTATAAGCCCAGTACTCACTCTGTGTAAGTGTCTAAATTTGGAAGAACACTTGGCTTTTACCAGGTCATAGTAGAAGTGTGCCTGTAATGTGAAGATTTCTTCCTGAATGATTTCATAGCTGACATAAACAAACTGATGCAAGACCAAGAGCTTCTTTGTTATGGTTGACAGTAAAGGCCTAAAGCTTTCTCTCTTCTGGATACCTTCATACAGATGATTATCCTTCAAGTACTCTGTATAAAGGTGAAGGGCTACAGTGTATGATGCTCATATTTATTTGATTTGTAGATTCCAGGCACAAGTGATGACCCTTGGGTGAGGAGTTTTGACCTGTAGACTTGCTGGCTGCACAGAGTAGCTTGGTCCCCTTATTTAAGAACCAGGGTTGTATTGGGAAAGATGTACTATTTTTTTTATTGATTTCTAGAGATTACCTTCAGTGATATATGTCATGAGTACAGTACTGGGGAAAATGACTTTGGGTTTGTTGACTGTGGCTGGATTGTGTGATCCTCCCTCAGAGTATAAAATGGGGTTTCAAGATTAATTCTTTATTCCTGGCTTAACTCCCTCTGCCAGACAACTCTTGTAATACAGGAAGTTTTACTTGGGGGCCCTTGAGTTGTCTGCCATGGTTCTTCTGTCTTAACGGATCACTCCTCCTTCCCCATTGTAGAGCCATCCTCAATTGAAATTTGTAAAGCAGTAGCTTCATCACCCTCCACAGGGGATAGAGAGAAAGGTATGGAAATCTTGTTTGAACCAATGTCTCACCAGTCAGGGGATTGTATCAGACAAAGCCTTCTTATACACTCTTAATAGCAAATGAGGGTAGGACAGACTTGCATGCTAGATTTACACTTTCTGTTTCCATAAGGAATTAAAATGCTTAGGTTTGATTAATTATTGAATCATTCTTTAATGTTCCAGAGTGTCTTTTCAGCTTGCACAGGTTACACTGTGTTAGTTAGTGAGCAAATGTTTAGTAGGACTGAACTCGAAAACCTTCATGTTTCCACTAAATCTGCGTTATCCCCTCACGGTCATACAGTATTATTAATCTAGTTCCAGATCAGTTTTTTGTTAGGGGACATAGGTGTAGCCCATTAGTATCCAAGTAGTTTTATCATAAAGTAACCATCTGATACAGCACACATACATTATTATACGCATATATTGAGCTTGTTGTTATGGTGGTATGATTTTCAGTATTTTTGTTGTATATTTCTGAAGAGCTCTTTATTGCAGGTAATCTTGGTCACTATTGTTGTATTTTGGTTTTGTGGTCTCAGGCAGTTGTAAGTTATGACAGGTGTTAGTATAAGTAATGGCTTCTCAGTGGAAAATAAGATTGGAATTCTCCTTTCTAATCCATTTGTTTGCAACAGATTGACACCCAACCACATAGAGGAAATGGAAGAACAGTATGTCACTCCTGGTTGGGGGTAGACTTTCTTATTCCCAAATATTATGCAGTAACCTTGGGCTTCATGGTTGGTGAGAAGAATTTTAAGAAGATTGAACTCTACCTCACCATAGGATTCCAAATCAAGAAGAAGCAACAGTTATTTGGGACTTTGTACTGTACTGGTATTTGTAACATTACATCAGTGGGTTATTCAAGCTTCACAATTTTGGAACTTTTATTCTAGACTTTTCAAAATGTCAGTGGAAGCTGATGGTTATAGCCACCCTTGATATTAGCTGGATGAATCTATTTATAAATTATTTTCATTTCAATTTAATATCATTCAGCGAGTGAGGATGACCCTCGGAGCTGGAGTATGGACTGTGATCATTGATCTGATTGGTGCTTATTGGCATGTGTTCTGGTGTATATTTAAATTAATTTCAGCTTAATTCCTGGTCAGAATTCTTCCTTGCTTTGGATTTGCTTTGAGAATCATCACAAAACCTCCAATTGTTGTTTTTATAGGATTATATACTGTACTTTGTTTCTCTAGTTTGTTTGAGATACTCGCTGAGTGTTGATAAGTGCATTTTGTTCTTCATTCTTTCCTGACACAGGTGGTTTACGATTCATGTTCAGGGACGTTGTCAGAGATAATTTCTTCTCTAGACACACATCAGCAATTGACTGCAGAAGCTGATTTGGAAGATTTGATTTCTTGGATGGATCTGTTCACAAAAAAATGTTTTAACCAATTAGTTGCCAGGATCAGTTCTTGCTGGGTGGGTTGTCTTTCCAGTTTTGGGGATCTGGTAGCACCTCCTCCCTCAGTTTTAACTGGCTTTGGATTACTTGATTTACCTGGTGTAAGTCATTAAGGTGGGAGTGGGGACTGACTCTGAAGTTCCTTATTTTGGGTGATTTAATAACTAGGAGCTTGGACACCTTGCATCCTCCCTTGGGGTTTATGTCTAGTATTCAGGAGCTGATAAATTTACCATGCGTGAATTTGGATTCAAAGAGGGTGGAGCCAACGCCATGGTAAGGTTGCCACTAATTGGTTAAGACACTTGCTCAAAGCAGACTTGATACCTTCCCTCATACCTCCCACAGGGGAGAGGAACTACCACACATGATCCCTCAGTTAAGGCTGACTCTACAGGGGAAGGAAAAGTGATCAGGTAGATAGTACTTAACATATGAACTTTAGCAGATACTTGGGGCCCAGCCAAAAAACACAAGAGTACCTTAGAAAAAAAAGAGTCTTGGCCACAGAAAAAAGATTTCAAGATAAGTCTTCCATGTTTGAGAAATAATAGTTCCTACAGGAAACAACCTCAAAGATCAAGATATTTCTCTAAGGTCACATGTCCTAAATCAGAAGAGGGACAATATAGAAAGTGCCATTTCATGCATGTGTTAGTGTGTGCTTGCATCTAAAATACTACCTTCAGATTTGCTTGCTATGTTGACTTCAAGTTTGATGTGGAAACTCATCACATGTTACCTCAGAACTAATTAGCATATGAGCACAATCCAGTAGTTTTGTCCTTTCTTGACTTTTGATTGGTTGAGAAGGTTCCAGCCAATAATACATTAGTATAACCTTAGCTTGTTGATAATTATCAACAAGCTAGTTTCAGTGTAGCTACTGTAAAAGGCTTCAGATCAGATTTTATTTTTCTTACTCTTAATTACAAAATTACCTGGATCTTAGGATGGAACACTGCCTTGATCACCCTTTGGTAGTTTACCTGTATTTAGTATTTGTGTTTGCATAGTTCATGTTGTTTTGAGATAAATGTTTTATATAACGCTTAACCATCAAATTACTGACTACAGTATATGCATGGTACAGTTTGTGTGTGTGCATACCTGTGTTTATTAAGGCCATAACCCAGATGGCAAAATTTACCTGAAAATGGATTTGTCACATTTCATAATGCTGTTGACCTAACAAAGTAAGTTAGGCAAGGCTGAAAATGTCACGGTAATTTTTTCTGTTTTCAAAATTTAATAAATACACGAGTTTAAAAGTTTAGTAATGGGATGAGAGGAAATCACTCCGTATTATGATGAAATAACATGCATACTATTGCTATTGCATGCACTGTTATTTGGATAATTGTGATAAAATTAAACTTTGATCATATACATTTTAATAAATTAATTGAAGTTTGGTAGATAATTTACTACTTTTTTCCAGCCAATAATAGTTGGTAATCATGCACTCAATGTACAAGCAAAGGAAAGTAAAAAACCAAGCAAACCAACAAGCCTAGCAGTTGGAAATGTGACTGGTGCCATAGCTGATCCAGGAGTAGGCAGTAGTTCCTCTGCTTATGGACTAAGTGACATCTCCTTAAATGCCAATGCTGAGGCCAGCATGTCAACTGCTAACACACTGCCCACACCAACACTACACCAACCTAGCACACAGACTGTAACCAAACCTAAATTCCAGGTGAGTTGAGATTGTGTTTCATATCGTTTTATTTAAGTGAATGTGTACGGTTTATGTTTTGACCTGTTATAGCCATGCTTTTTTAGTTTAATTAGAAAATGAGAAAGCTAAACTTTGGTCAATTGTGAAATTTACGACAAAAACAAAAACCTTAATTTTATCCTAAAGATTTCTGTAAAACTGTGCATACCGGTACTCTTGAGAGGCAATGTGATACACGTGTTTACATGGAAGGAGGGATTTTAACCGAGTTACTTAGACTATCAAACCTGGAGTAAACACAGCAATGAACCAATGGTTTTGAACTAGATAAATTTATTTTTAGGTTTGAAAGTGGAATTGTGGATGAGTGGAACAAATTACCAAAACCATTAAGTCAAACTCGCTGGGAAGCTTCAAATATAGGTTGGACAGATATGTGAGTGATAGGGGTTATGTTTAAAACAGGGCTGCCTAGTATGGGCCAGTAAACTTACTGCAGTTTCCTTTATTCTTATGTTCTTAAGCTAAACTTTAGTCAAATATCACATTTACAGCAAAATAAAAGTCCTTGGGTCTGTCATCAAGCTGTGTAAAGTTGTGTAATGGCATACAACTTGGTCTGTGTCAGTATTTTAAGTTAGTAATAGAGTAAACTTTATGTAGTACTTGATGATTAGGGCTATCACAGTACTTGATGATGAGGGCTATCACAGTACTTGATGATGAGGGCTATTACAGTACTTGATGATGAGGGCTATTACAGTACTTGATGATGAAGGCTATTACAGTACTTGATGATGAAGGCTATTACAGTACTTGATGATGAGGGCTATCACAGTACTTGATGATGAAGGCTATTACAGTACTTGATGATGAGGGCTATCACAGTACTTGATGATGAGGGCTATCACAGTACTTGATGATGAAGGCTATTACAGTACTTGATGATGAGGGCTATTACAGTACTTGATGATGAGGGCTATCACAGTACTTGATGATGAAGGCTATTACAGTACTTGATGATGAGGGCTATTACAGTACTTGATGATGAGGGCTATCACAGTACTTGATGATGAGGGCTATCACAGTACTTGATGATGAGGGCTATTACAGTACTTGATGATGAGGGCTATCACAGTACTTGATGATGAAGGCTATTACAGTACTTGATGATGAGGGCTATTACAGTACTTGATGATGAGGGCTATTACAGTACTTGATGATGAGGGCTATTACAGTATGAACAACAGATGATGTTCTTGAATGGCATATAAGACTTCTCAGATTTATTCTTAATGATGTGAGGGAAGAAATATCTTCATTTTCCTTCTTGTAAATATTAATATATTCAAAATAAAGAAGAGAACTGGTGGGATCTTTAAGTACAGTACCTATCAAGATAATCTTCTTTAAGTTTATAAGCAACTTTTCAGTGTGCAACTCTTAGCAGTTTGTGGTAGAAAACTTTTCCATCTGTCCTCCACTGTTGGATTTGGTCACAGGTCAAGTTTTAAGACTATCTACCAACCACAAGGAATCGACTGAGTTTGGTCATTTGTGTTTAATGAGTAGTAAGGCTTGTATGTCATAGACCTACTCACTCCTTAGATCCTCTGCTTAGTAAGTGCAATGAAAAGTGACATTCAAGGTTATTGTGATTTATTAACTGGAATTGAGAAGGTTTGGACCAGGGGAGGGGTTCATCAGGAGTTTCCCTCAAATAATGGGATTGATGATCATGTCTCCATCCTTCCTCGGCCATAAAATGAGGCATGACTGTGTGTGTGTGCGCATTTCCGAGGGTGGAGGAAGATATTTATAATTTTTCTTCTCTTTACAATATAATAGAATCTGACCAGCACAAGCTCTGTTGGAGCTATTGGCACCCTGCCTCCGAAGTTAGTCCGTCCTCAGCCCAGACAGGCTTCAAACTCCAAGTTGTAAGTTTTGTTTGAACAGTTATTGAATTTCCAGTAACTTATGGTTAAATGTCTGATAAATCCAACACAAAATGGAACAATAAATATAACCTTAAGGGAACAGAATAAACATCCTCTCATTCAGGATTACTTAAGAGATGCTTATTTAAATGCATAGTAGATGTTTCAGTTTGATTGCATTAAAATGACCAGGTTGGGTCCTTTGTCAATTGTGTGAATCTAAAATATGTAATTCACTTTAGTAATATCAGTGTTGAGAAAAGACTCCAGACTCTTCATTCTAAATTCTAAAGGATTGGTTGTAATGCATTAGTCTGTCTTAATGGACCTTCAGGCAGTTGTTGTAATGTAAGAAGATTTACTAGAAATAACTGAGCCCATTGTTTGGGCCCCATATGTCAACCAAGATTTACTGTTATCCAATAGATCAGCCTTTCTTCCACCTTCCTCTTGTGGATGAGATTGGATAGAGAAGGCTGGATGTGTGCTCACAGCCCTATTTTGACCAATCAATGAACTTCCATGTTATAGTGCTGGCTCCACCCTCTGAGAAGGCTTTAAGGATTTTTTTATTATTTAGTTTTTTTATTATTATTATCATTATCGCTTGAAATCCTTTCATCTTCTGAACTGATATGTGTAAGTATGTGAACTGTAGATTTACAAAGGGTAGAGCCAAACCTGTGGCTTGGGGGGTCTCTGATTGGTCAGACAGCAGCTCTAAGCAGACTTCCAGCCATCTCTCCACTATCCAGGGGAACAGACAACTAACTGCCATACATTACCCTCATATAAGGCTAGTTATGCAGACAAGAGAAGCAAGTGTGATTCCTTAGATAGTAATTAGCACATCATTCCTGGCAGACACTGGGGGCCTAGACAAAAGGCTCAAGGACCCTAGTAGGTACAAGAAGTGTTTGGTGAAGGATGACGCCAGAAGGTATTTCAGGATCAATTCTCTATTTTTCCAATAATTCTTAACTTTAAGAGTTTTCTAAAAGTTTTATTGTCACAGGGGAAAGCAAACTACAGCAGCCAAAGAAGATTGTGTTGCAAGCACAACATCTTACAAGAAACTTATCGAGGTGTGCAAACAACGGGTTGGGAAGGACTTTTCATCGTAAGTTGAAATAAAGTTTTATCCAGTATTAACATTATTCCAGTAAAAAGGGGCCTTTTTATGTTGCATTTTTTAATGTTAAAGCAGCCTTAATGTATCCAAATTTGAGTTATAAATCAAGTGGTTTGTTTAGATATATAATTATGCTTTATTTTTACTTTTAAACACCTTTTGTTTTTTGTTTTTTGTTTTTTTACAGGGATTAGCCCCACCAAGGCACAGGTCACTGACCCACATCAGCGCCTGGGGGTGGGGGAATATTATAATTATCATAATAACTATTATTATTATTATTATTATTATTATTATTATTATTATTATAATAATTCATAAAACTAATAACAAAATACTGTACTGAAAATAATAATAATAAAAACCATAAATAAATACAAAAACGAAAAAAGAAATCAAGAATGAGAAACTATATACATTATGTATGTGTGTTGTCGAAATAAGAGAAACAATTGAGACCCTGCAATTGTGTCTAAATGAGGCAGAAAGTCAGATCAGCAACCTGGGACTTGGTCACAATTTTTGTGATGCCATATAGCAGCAGGGTCTACCATTAGACACATTATGCTTCCAATATCTTCCCAGGCGGTAGTACCTCCCTGTTTAGTAGCTGTCTACTACTTACTACCTATAATTTTCCTTCATATCTCTCAGTTGAGTTTTTTTTAACTGGGTGGAGGATACTCACCACACTGGTAAAGAATTATCCTGCACTACATTTCCACAACTCAAACAATCATTCCTTGTTCCTTAAAGAAAAAACATAATCACAGCTTCCAATAGGTGGGTAAACCTAGAGGTATACAGCCTGGCCAAGTAGTGAGGTGCACTTTTGCATCATCATTCAACTTGTCAACTCAGTCAGCACCTGAAGATCTAGAATTGTACATTATACAACATACTAGACCAAATTACTTGAGCTAAAACTCAGGTATAACAGATGCACTAAGGCAATTTGAATACTGTACTGTTCTGGGTTTGGTTGTGTATTTTGTGATTGTTTGTGAATGAAAATGTGTCATTACGACCAAACCTAAACTCTAAGATTTACTAAAAAGATAAAACCGAGAAAAGTCTTTTCAATTTACTGTATATTAACACTTAGCAAAGGAGGCAGTCTCCATAAAGATATCAATTACATTATCCAGTGATGAGTGACTACTTTATTCTATACCTTCTTTACAGACCCGATATATGTTCTGCTCTCCGTGAGGTCCGCATCCAGAATAATAACAGCCTGTCTGGCATCACCACGGAAGCAATTGTGGAACGCGTGAGGAATCAGCTACGCTCTCGCCGCCCTGGTTCTGGTCAGGCTACAGTGGCTCCGTGGGCAGGACTCACCCAAGGTTCAGGAAAAAATGCCTCTGGGCCTGATTGGCAGGGACCTGTTACTGAAGATGGTGTGAAAGTTGAGGAGTCATGTTCCATATGTTTGGAAGCTCTCAATGCTAGTCCTACTGTACCACTCCAGTGTCAACACGTGTTCCATGAAAAGTGCATCAAAGATTGGCTGAAACGACAGTCTAACTGCCCAAACTGCCGTACATTTGCCCTCATGACCGACGAGTATCCATCTCTCACTCATGCTTAAGAAACAGTGAGAAGAAACTGAAATATCACTGATCTAATCCTTCAGGATTATGTGTCATATTTATCAGTTTTTACCTTCTCTGCAATATGTGCCTTGCATGGAAATGACATATAGGAAATAAAGTTTTTCTACCACAATGATTAAACATATATAATTTATCTTTGAGTTCAGTTCTATACAGTATACATAACCATGCGAGGTCATTTTTCCAGAAAAATAAAATTTTGTTTTTATGAATGCTGTTCATTTGGCATGTGAAGTATGTGTGTTTCATAGGCAGACAGTGACAGATGGACTGGTAATGATGTGAGAATTGTTTATTTGGTCTTTAAAGTAAAATTTACAATTACTGGATGTTAATAATTATAATGTGCCTTAGCAAAACATAAGCAGAACATGCAATATATTTTTCTATTACTGTACTGTATTACTCATAATAGTATTGTTTAGTTTTACAAGTACAATCAAATTACATATTAATTATAAGGAAGTACTGTTTTAGTGAAGAAATAAACCATTATTATTTTGTTATTTATTATTAACCTATTTTCTCTTTACATAGTGTAAATAAAGACTATAAGAACTTGGTGTAGATGGCTGAACACACTGAAATACTGTACCACTTTTGTGAGGGACTGATTTACTCTTCACATTGTAGTATAACTGAAGCAGTATTGTTGATCACATTTTTTCAGTGTCAAATCAAGAGAAATATTGTTTTTGATTTCCATATGTATTTACAGTATTACATATGTAGTGTTTATGCCACAGGAGCTTCAGTTGAATCATAAATCCTGTATACTCAAAGAAATACAATACTGTTTTAATAATCACTCATGGGTCCTGCCTTGTTTGGTTGTGAGAAAGATCTTGGGATTATTATTTAACATGGTACATTTGATTCTTATTGACATCTGTGAGAGCAATTGAGTCACTAAATTAGTTCCTTCAATATCTAACTTGCAGTAGCATATGGCAGTACAGTCAGATAGCATGATGTTGAATTGTGTCAGGTGTTCACCATAAGGCAAATCAAAAGTTTATGACTTCATTGTCATCACTGCTTTCATTGCCGCCATTTTCCACGGGTGTATTGATTATCCATGGTGACTCGATGGCATGGAGTCCTGGTTACCATCAGGAAAATATGAAATGAGTTTTATGACTAGATTACCTTCCTCTTGCCAACTTACAATAATTGAGTGGGAATTGGGCATGTGGTATAATGCAGGACTTCCAGGTTAGGTTAAGTTAAGTAGCATAAAACAGACACTCGTCCAAGTGGGATGTAATCGGTACACATAATATACATACTATGTACTATATGATTACCAAGAATTGTTGGTCATAAAACAGTCGCCAATTTATTATAGATTATTTCGCCATATCCGTATTAAATTTAATTATCGGCCAAACATAAGATACACTGCCGAATGCCTTAGCAAAGTCAAGGTAAAAAATACTGGTACATCTTGACAATACTTTACACCCATTACCCCCGTCAATACATCATCAATACATGCTCCGTAGTCTTGGATTCATACGTGACACAATGTTTTCTCAAAAAGCATTAAAAATAGGTGGGGAATAGATAAGAAAATGGTGAAAAAAGGAAACCACTTTATCCTCCCGTGTCCTTCAGATTCTGCCAGTCATGTGCTCGTGTTGCCTAACTCCTAGGGTGAGCGTTTATCTCCACTGTTCTCGACTTCTTTCCTTGTGGTTATCAGCATATACCTAGATCACGCGCACCTACAGTGATTTACTTGCATATATATATATATATATATATATATATATATATATATATATATATATATATATATATATATATATATATATATATATATATATATATATATATATATATATATATATATATATATATATATATGTATATATATATATATATTTTTTTTTTTTTTTTTTTTTATTTAAAGAAATCTTAAAAGCAGAATTTAATTTAATGCTTAGTTTTAGGGGTACTCTCCAGTGCGGACGCACACGTAGAAATGCTAGGACCAGAGTGCTGGGTGTGCCTGGCCTCCTCTGATTGGCCCTCTCGCTATGCTCACCCCAAATCTTGATCCTTGTAAATTGTATAAATACGGCCATGGCTGGCCAGGGAGACCACCCAGCTTCCTCAGAGAGCTTGTGGGCGTATGGGTTATTTGGGTTCACACTCAGGATGGGATGGAGAAAGGAAACTCACAATGTGCTCTCTATATACATGTTGTATTGGATGTACAATGCAGCTTGGTGTTGGGAAGGCAGCGTGGTTACAAGGGTGATGTAGAGAGCGTGTGGGTCGCCATGCTCGCCAGCAGGAGAGAGGACCGCCAGGCAGGCGGAGGAGGAGGTGTTGCTGGCTGCGACTGTAAGTAGAAGAGGCAGGTCACCACGAGGTTAGGTCTTAAATAGCGGGGGTTGGCGTGGCTTAGTAGTTGACCCCCGCTCCGTGATGTATGGCGGCGCTGGTTGACCCAGACCACGAGGCACACACTGGGGAATTGGTGGGGTCGACTACTCAGCAACAAACAGCATTTGTAGGGGAGAATTCCACTACACTACAATGTCACGCACACACACACACACGCACACACACACGCACACACACACACCCTCACACACACACACACGCACACACACACCCCCTCACACACACACACACGCACACACACACCCCTCACACACACACACACGCACACACACACCCCCTCACACTCACCTTGATATTTTTCTGTAAATTTTCAAAACTAAGAATTGATCGACTCTAAACCAGTGATCCCGTTTCATAAAAAAGATAACAGATATTTTATATGTAAAACTATATAACTTACACACATATTACACTAGACACAACATTAAAAGAAAAATTTGCCAGCAGTATGTGGCAGGAAGATGCTTCAAGTGCCCCGAGGACCTGAGGCCTGAGGTGGGTACTGGCAACACTGCAGTGTGTTGCTAGCCAGCTTGTACACGCTAACAACTACGTCTCAAAGGTAAGAGCGCGTACCCTTATTCTTCAAATTTCGCATTATAAAAAGTTGACAAGATTCTACTGTGTAAGTGACAAGATTCTACTGTGTAAGTGACAAGATTCTACTGTGTAAGTGACAAGATTCTACTGTGTAAGTGACAAGATTCTACTGTGTAAGTGACAAGATTCTACGGTGTAAGTGACAAGATTCTACTGTGTAAGTGACAAGATTCTACGGTGTAAGTACACTTGACACACATTTATTCAACATTTGTTATAACGATACAATAAATGATGTTTAGCATATTTAGGTTACGTTTATATTATATATCCATCGGCGTGAATTGAATAACAGATTAATTTAAAAAAAACAGTTTTGAGGTTGTATTATGGTGGGCGTAGTAAGTAATCACAAAGTACTCGGTAAATCGGTGGTAATGACACGTCAGCATTACTTATCATATACACAAATAGTCTGTATATTCTCACGGTGTTTATTGTAAAGTCATACCTTGAAAATATTTCCAAGTTTATTTATTCGGTGAAGTAAGTAAAGAACATGTAAAAATGTGAAGGTAACTTTTCCACTGAACTTTAGCACCGAGACAGTCAGTCGTTGGGAGGAGCAATGAGGGTGTAGAAGAACCAAGTGGTGAGAGTGTACCACTTTGTTGAGGGTATATCACTGTGTGGAGGTGTGGGAGGGTGTAGGAGGGTGTATCAGTGTGTTGAGGGTGTAGGAGGGTGTTGAGGGTGTAGGAGGGTGTATCATTGTGTTGAGGGTGTAGGAGGGTGTTGAGGGTGTAGGAGGGTGTATCAGTGTGTTGAGGGTGTAGGAGGGTGTATCATTGTGTTGAGGGTGTATTATTGTGTTGAGGGTGTAGGAGGGTGTATCATTGTGTTGAGGGTGTAGGAGGGTGTTGAGGGTGTAGGAGGGTGTATCATTGTGTTGAGGGTGTAGGAGGGTGTTGAGGGTGTAGGAGGGTGTATCAGTGTGTTGAGGGTGTAGGAGGGTGTATCATTGTGTTGAGGGTGTATTATTGTGTTGAGGGTGTAGGAGGGTGTATCAGTGTGTTGAGGGTGTAGGAGGGTGTATCAGTGTGTTGAGGGTGTAGGACGGTGTAGGAGGGTGTTGAGGGTGTAGGAGGGTGTTGAGGGTGTATCATTGTGTTGAGGGTGTAGGAGGTGTTGAGGTATCAGTTGAGGTGTATCATTGTGTTGAGGGTGTAGGAGGGTGTATCAGTGTGTTGAGGGTGTAGGAGGGTGTTGAGGGTGTATCAGTGTGTTGAGGGTGTATCATTGTGTTGAGGGTGTGGGAGGGTGTATCAGTGTGTTGAGGGTGTAGGAGGGTGTATCAGTGTGTTGAGGGTGTATCATTGTGTTGAGGGTGTAGGAGGGTGTATCAGTGTGTTGAGGGTGTAGGAGGGTGTATCAGTGTGTTGAGGGTGTATCAGTGTGTTGAGGGTGAGGAGGGTGTAGGAGGGTGTTGAGGTGTATCAGTGTGTTGAGGGTGTATCATTGTGTTGAGGGTGTAGGAGCAGTGGCGTAGCTAGAGTGTGTGCCGCCCGGGGCGGCCCTTGAGTTTGCCGCCCCCCTGCCCCCACAAAAAATACATATTGCACAGTGACTCACTCTTATATATATATATATATATATATATATATATATATATATATATATATATATATATATATATATATATATATATATATATATATATGTATATATATATATATTAAATAGTTTGCGTACCATTATAATATTACTGTACTTTCACATACTCAAATATAGTATGCTTTAAATACACACCAAACATACTTAAACTTTATAAGTTTCCTGAATCCTCAACAGGTTACAGGTTGTGTGTGTGGCGGGGGGCGCATAGCAAGGGTGTAGCTCATGACGTGGCCGTGATGATGTGGGTCAGGTGTTAGGTCAGACACGACAAGGATTAACTTGCCGCCGATACAAAGGGATGGATTAACGTCTCCAGTAGCTGCAGATATGGGTGATGAGCAGACCCAAAAGTGCCGCCCCCCCCCCTAGCTACGCTAGTGTCATAGGAGGGTGTATCAGTGTGTTGAGGGTGTAGGAGGGTGTATCTGTGTTGAGGGTGTATCAGTGTGTTGAGGGTGTATCACACTGTTGAGGATGTATCAGTGTTGAGGGTCACACTGGTTAACACCCTTCCCATTTTTATCAGTCATCATGGACCCAGTCAGCTGCTGTTTCATGCCTGCTTGACAGTTTGGCTGTGGAAGAGTCACATGGCTCCACACAGTTGATCATCTTGTCAACTGTGAAGGTGCGATTCTTAAACTTATCAAGGTAATATATTTTTATTAAAGCCTATAGATTTTTGTTTTGTTTTTTACGTTATGATTTTTTTAATACTTAACTTATTATTATCAGAAAATTCTCAGAATTTTATCCTTTTCAAAATATATATCGTGTATTTCGTACTGTATGTCGAATATTTATAATATATATTGTATATTACTTTATACTTTTATCCTCTTCGCCACTGATCGGCTTGTTAGCCGCTTAAGTCAGACGACTAACCCAGGGCCAAGTAAAAAAAAATGCCAACCAGGATTTTCACAGCCAATATGGTGCTACCTCTCCTATGTACCTTGACCTGACCTAACCTGACCTAACCTAACCTAACCTAACCAGACCATGGCTTCATTGTCACCAAAATAGACATTATTATGTAAATTTAGTAAACATAACACGTTATTCAATAAACCAGTGACGAAATGTCCACCCACTGTGTCAGGTTATGAAAATACTCAATTAGATTTATTTCCAGTTGAAGGTGCATGGCCAGCTGACTTCATTGACAGCTGACTTCATTGACAGCCATCTGTTTGGACAAGAGATACTGTATTTTGCTTGTAAGACCCATAGAAAATGACTACCATGGCCTCAGGAGAAGATGATACTTCAGTGAGACGCATCCGACTCATGGTCAATGGTCAAAATTACACAGGTAAGGAGCTGTCCTCTCCTTCCTGTACATTTCATCTACTGCACAATACAGTAGAGAGAGTTATGTCTCATAATTTTTAACCATATTAGTTGAAGCACAGCAATATTATATCAACTGGCTGTCTATTTTATTCTGTTCTCAGCTTCAGATATGGTGGAATATCTGCATCAAACCCCATAACCCTGAAAGAAGATACTGTAATGCAGTAGGAACTCAGATATCTGGAATGCATGGGGAATCGAGTGTGCCGGTTAATCATTTTTTTCTTAATGCTTCAGTTATTCCTATAAGTACCCATCTCAAACTCAAGAACATCATCATAGTAGATATTATGAAATGAATAAATGGACAGAGTAAATATATTATAAAAGGACATGCTGGATGGATGAGGCGATGATAGTGGTCACACCGACACAAACATTCAAGTAAGAGGAACTGTAATAGCGGTGCCCTGTGTGTTTGGCCAACATGGAGGACTCGCAAAATGTCTCTAGTGGCCAGAAATGGAACCACGAGTGAAGCCGCACCAAATTAAAACCGATTTTCTTGATTTTTTAGATGTGATTAGTCATTACTTACTGGAAATTGACCCCCACCCCAAAAATGCCGGTTGTTTGAGAGTTTCGGATGAGTAAATGCCGGATTTCTGAGGTTATACTGTATTATGCAGAGTATTAATAAAAGAGAAAAAGTTGTACAGTATGATAAAACCAAAAAATTATCACTTTAGATGTTGGTTTTGGAATAATTACTTAAATCTTTACCAAATTGTATTATTATTTGTAGGACAGTGTTTAGCATAATTATGAAGTTATTAGCACCAAAGATATTAGTAAGTGGAACATCATGTTTGTCACATAAACTCCTGTAGGAAGTCACCCAAGGCAAGGTTTGAGTGAGGCACTAATGTTCATTACCTTCTTCTCTTCAGTGACCCCTGATGTGCCACCATGGACAACACTTATTGATTTCCTGAGGGATAATGTTAAGCTGCCTGGCACCAAGGTGTTTTGTCGGGAGGGCGGCTGTGGAGTTTGTACTGTTGTTGCCACAATCCCTGACCAGGAGGTGGATGCTGGATTCAAAACAATCGGCATTAATGCTGTTAGTAGTTTGAAGAAGTTACATATATAAAAATATTTTACAATCTCTGCATGATTCATGCGAGCTTGTAAAATGAGATTTCACAGTTAATCTCTAATATTTATCCCCTCACACAGATTTGGTCATGTAGCAATCACATTATGTCTGTGTGCATATAAGGTGTGTTTGTGTACATTGTATGTATTTTTGCATTGACCTTCTCTGTAATAATCATTCATATTAGAACAATGACTTTTCTCTATGGTCATTATTATGTAAGCTGTTGCATCCTTTTATTTATAAAAAGGATGATAAATATTCCTTTTTTTTATAATTTCCACAACATGTCAGCTTTATAGCCATTGAGGTGATTGATCTGTACCTGGAGGAAACCTTCAATGTTTGCTAGGGTCACATGGGATACTGTAATGCCTTTCTCACATGTGACCTGAGCTGGGGATTGAACCCGGGATACTAAGGTGAGAGGCAAGCATGCATTACAATATTACAATGTTAAGCTGATCAGAAAGACACATACCAGTACTCTATATATTAAAGTCAATATTTCTCCTCAGTGCCAAACTCTGGTGTATGCATGTGCCGGTTGGAGGATTGAAACAATTGAGTATTTGGGTGACCGCTACACTGGGTATCACTCACTACAGAAAGCATTAAGTGGATTCTATGGAACACAGTGTGGGTACTGCTCCCCTGGGATGATCATGACTATGTATGGGTAAGTCTTTTATTTCTATAATTTCAGTTTGTTTGATTGGTCTAGTGTTACTCTTGTTAATTATATGGAGGTATTTGACCCCAAGTAAACATATATTTCATCAATTTTCATATGGAGTTGATGGCTTAAGTGGAAATCTTGTGGCAATGTTTACAAGTCCATTGGTATTTTGAGTGACTGAGAAAACTTGCATCTTTACAGACAACTAAAATCACATGGTACACTAAATGTGAATCAAGTTGAGCAATCTCTAGATGGTAACTTGTGCCGCTGTACAGGTTATCGCCCTATACTAGATGCCTTCAAGTCCTTGGCAGTGGATGGAAGTAAGCATCTCAAGGATAAACTTGCTGATATTGAGGTTTGAACAATATTTTTTGTTTTGTTTATGGAATTGGTAATTGTATAGATACATTTTTCCCTTCAGAATATTGTATGACTAGCCTTGCCTTGCCCACTCATACTGCAAGTACAGTACAGTACCACATATTTTGTCTGAAAATTTCCTCCTGATATTATTACAAGATGATGTATCCAATTATTTTATGCCACTGAAACTATTGCCATTCACATAAATTTTCACAATATACTGTACTCTTTACACAATGTTATTAACACTGATGGTAATGTATGTATTGTGTGCTATCTATACATTGAAGTATTTTTTTTTTCTGTAGCTTGTAATATAGTATTCATGTTGTCTTAGGTAGTTTTTTTTATTATAGCTTACTTATAATTTATCTACAGTATATATTGTGGTACAGTAGGTGTTTTTACTGTAACCTATTTGTAATATATTACAGTATGAGTACAGGATTGTTTATGTATTTATCTGGTTTCAGGATGCCTATAAATCTTGTCCAAAAACTGGCAGTATCTGTAAGGGGTCCTGTAAGAGTGGTAGTGTTGGCTGCCGGCAGGAAAACCAGGAAGAAGATATTTCTACCCAGCTGGAGGACTTTAAGATAAATGTCGGCTCCATCCAGTGGTATCGACCAGTCACCATCGAGGTATGATTGTCATTTTTATTTCCAGTTTTATAGTTTTAAGATTTCTGGGAGTAGGTTTTCCTGAGAAAATACCAGAATGATTTATATTTATGAACTGGAATTTACCTTATGATTAATATTACTGTACTGTGATTTTTTTTTATTATTGAATGTGTAGTGTACAGTATATTTCGACTTGGAGGGAAATATCTGTAGTCTCCTGGGATAGTGTTAAAGATTTATATTGTACTGCATTAATACAGTAATTTACCTTATAAATTTTATTACTGTGATATTTTTATGCCATGTATTGTATATTTCCACATACAAGAATGTACTGTATGTTTAATATTAAAGGGGACTCTTCCTAGTGAGGGAGGAGGTTAATACTCCTTCAGTTAGTGATGTTGGGTTCTTAGATTTGTTTCCCTTTGTTATGTATAAATGTTTTCCTTAATGTGGTCCAGTTTATGAGCACCATCAGTCGAATATGTAAGTCCTTGGAAGGGGAGGGGGAGGGGGTTAAGACTTGAAGATAAGGACTTAATTTTACTTCCATCCAGTGGTGTAAGCAGGGGACGAGCATAGTGAGCCCACACAGCCAGGGGGGTGTTAAAATTTTACCAGTTTCAGGGACTTTTTGAGGTCATCTTCAATGTCCTACAATGTATAGTAGGACACATTTTATTGATAATATTAATACTGCATTCCATTGGCACACACTGATCCTGCACCAGCACACTTACCATTCTCTACATTACCTTCCATGGGTCTGGTGAGTGGAAGCTTAAGTATAATTTACCTCTAGACACACTGAGTTTTGTGTGTGAAAAAATAAATAATATTGTGTTATCTGCACAGTGCAGAAATATTACTCAGGCAGAAATCTCTGCTCTGTTGGAGGCTTTCCCCCCCTGACTGTGTACCCAAATTAATTTCTATGTACAGTATACTTAAGTCCTCGCGAACTGGTTGCATTGGGTTGAATGAGTTGACGGCAGTCTTGGCTAATTTATATACAGTACTTTTTGTTTCCTTTTATATTTTTCAGTTTAATAATCTCTTTCTTTTTAGGGAATAAAAAATGTTCTGAAGAAGATTCAACAAGATGAGAAAGTGTACATTGTTGTGGGCAACACTGGTCAAGGTAGAGTTCCATTCAGTTTTATTCAGTTATGTCATCATACAAACTGATATTGATTCATCATATACTGTATACTGTGTATAGACAATGCAGGTACACAATGAACATAGACAGTGCAGGTAAACAAACAGTATGAGTGTACAAACAGTGGTAAACAATAGGGCAATTCAACCAAGGATAAATAACATAGCCATCAGATGGTTATACTATACCCATTAGGGTCCTTTGCTTAGGATGGGGAACTGATCAGTAATATTATATCTGCAAAAATAATAAATGTGAGAATCTGGGGTTGAATAAAACAACTATCTGAGGCTGATTGGCTCACTTCAACAATACAGTGGTCCCTCGGTTAACGAGCACAATCCATTCTAAAAGGTTGCTCGTTAACCGAAAAACTCGTGAACCGAAACCATTGTTTCAATGGGTTTTTGGGTAATTGGTTCCAGCTCACCGAAAATTACCTAAATTCAACAAAAAAGGTAGAAAAGTACACTTACTTTGAGGTGTGTATGTAGAAGGCTCATGGATGATGATGATGATGGGAATTAGAATGGGGGTGGAGGAGAAGTGAGAAGAGAAGGCATTGGGGTGGAAGAGAAGTCACCCCATGGCGCCATTTCACCCATAAAATTTTAGTTCTCTTGGTGTAATTCAAGATTATTTTCTTTAAATCAACACTGCACTGCATTATATATTGTCAATATGTAAAATAAATTTCAAAATGACCAATAATTTGCTTGTAAACACAGAAAAAAAGCGTTTAGTTGAAGAGAGTCTCAAGCAAGATGTTACCTCCACTGAAAAGACACAAAGACTGACACCTGTATGCTGTGTTGGCAGGCTGGATGGCATGCCACAAACTAGTGACCTTACCTTCAATTATGTTCAATAATTGTTTAAATAACTAAAAAAATTAATATTAAACTTTTGAAATTATTGAATAGTATAAACTTCTTGATATTTACTAAAAGGGTAAGGAATTTGAGCCCTAGAACCGATTACTGTATTGGCGGACTAATACTACAGCTGGTGGACCGCCAAATGCAAGCTAAAACATGTGGAGGTCGGCTCGTAAGAAACTCGTTAATCGAGGGATTGCTCGTTAACCGAAGTTAAGAATTTTATGGAAGGTAACTCGTTAAACGAAATCTCGTTAACCGAGGCGCTCGTTAACCGAGGGACCACTGTACAACTGTCTATGGTTAGTAATACAGAAAACCATTCTTCTCTTGCTGTAGCTTCACAACGGAGCTCTATGGAGGGATCGATGAATTTCAAAATAAACACTGCGACTCCTGTTGTTTCGGTAGGGTTGTCACAATCCTTCGTCCATTGAATTGAATTGAAACAGTTTATTTAGCCAGAAAAAAACAGATATAGAGTGGATAATAATAACAATATGAACATGGTTGAGCCAGTTGAGAACCTGAGCTCTCATATTGTCTCACACAAAATCATAGAGATACTTTATGGATCAAGTGTACATCATGAAACATTTTCTCAGTTTATAGATCAGTAAATTATATGTTGTTTGAATTCAGTTATCTTTCATACTGTTTACCACACAACATCCCCCAGTAGAAACTATTGAAAGTGTTTGTTAGTTTACTTTATCAAAGTTGTTTTTCAGGCACTGTCTGTAACCATAAATTTCTTGTCATCTTTTTGCCTTAAGGAATGAGCTTTTTAGTCTGATTCTTCTGCCTCCCAATTTAGTAAGGGACTTGTGCCATAAATAGTAGAAATTATTCCAAAATAGCAGACCATAAGGAACTGTAAAAGTTAGTGTACAATAGTTTATGATACACAACCAGTGTAATAAACACTGACCATTACAGGTGGCCTATCAAAAATCCGGCAACCGATAAACCGGAACCTTCAGTTTTCCGGCATGGATTTCGGAGCGCATTTTCAAATATTTCTTTGTTTATTTAATGAAGATATATGTTTTAGCTTATAAAATTCATACAAATTACCCGGCCAGAATATAATTTACATTGCTGGAATTCTTACAATTTGATGATCATTTTGAATATAAACATCATAGATTTTGCATTAGACATACAAATTTTAGAGCTAATGTTTACTCTGAGTAAATATGTTATCTTTTGTGCAAAATATATGACATTTATATTCAAAATATTCCTGGTCTTACAAGGAATCCAGCAATGTCAATTATATTATCCTTACTTAAGTGTTTAATTTTCTTTGTTTAAAGGACTGTACAGGTAGTCATTTTCTGTTAAACTTATACAGCAAATATAACCATCAGTTTCCCGGCATTTTCGAAAATCCGGCACTCCTCAGGTCCCGAGGTTGCCGGATTTTTGATAGGCCACCTGTATTAATGAAGTCATTACTGTAGTTGAATATTTATATTGGCTTTTATTATATTTCAGGAGTGTATAAAGATGATGGCCCTTATACCACATACATCAACACTGCTAATGTAAAAGAATTGTACGACATTTCCTTAAATGTACCACTGGCTATGGGAGCCAATGTTAGCCTTAGTAGAGCCATCGAAGTATTTGAACATGTAGCCGCCACTTATCCAGGTTATCAATATCTGCGTGTCCTTCAAAGCCACTGGAAAATGGTGGCAAATGTTTCTGTCAGAAATGTAAGTACAGTACTGTAAAGTGTTTGTAGTAGTGTCTACTGTATAAGAATTGTCTGGAGAGAGAGAGAGAGAGAGAGAGAGAGAGAGAGGTGAAGGGAATTTAGGTAAACTATTTTGACTGGGTATCATGGGCTCACAGGCTTTGAATTTCCTTCACTCACAAATTGAACTTTACACCTCAAATACTTTAAATTATTGTTAATGTAAAATTCAAAGTGCAGAAGGTTTCCATGTCCCTTGTTTCTCTCTCAGACATAAAGGTTTTCTTACTTTGTTTCTAATCTGGTGTTGTCTCTATATAGTCAACAAATCTACACAGTGAAAAATATTTAGTGGTATGAATGGTAAAAATCATAACTAAATATATGGCATCTGTGGAAGATTTATTAGTGAATCAGTAAGACCAAAATGTGGTACTATATCAATTGATCATAACATAATACAATATTATCCTGTACTTGTCTTCATTCACCAGGCTGGAAGTTGGGCTGGTAACTTGATGTTGAAGCATAAACATCCAGAGTTTCCATCTGATATCTTCTTAACTTTGCTGGGAGCAGGAGCACAGCTGACTGTAAATCATGCTGACAGCCCTTCTGCCATACAAATTGACTTGGAGCAATTTCTTCAGACAGACATGTCTAAAAGTGTAATCCTGTCTGTCACTCTGCCTCCTTTGACCCAGGATGAACAAGTATGTATTCATTATAACTAATATCACCTCATAAAAATATCCCATTGTATCACTGTTACCCTGAGAGAACATAATCACTTTCATTGAACAAAGATTGTGTTTGAAATAGAGAAGAGAAGAGAAATTTGAGCATTTTATTCCTGCATGAGTCAGAAGAGTACAGGTCTTAGGTAACATCTGTTGCACCTTGGCACCATGACTTGCCTCAAAGACTCCATTACTCCGAGAGGCTCTTACAGTACGTATGTTTAATTTTGAACTTTTTGTTACAGATTCGGACATTTAAGATATCCAGCAGAGCTGTCAATGCACATGCCCATGTTAATGCTTGTTTCAAGATGGAACTGGATCCTACAGATGGTTATAGGATTAAGAGAAAGCCTCTCTTATTGTTTGGAGGAATAAATCCTGATTTTGTAAGTTGAGAAAACTTAGAATTTTGAATTTTATATTTTGAAGTGGGATGTGATGGTATTTGAATAGTCACTGACCATGTTGGTTATATCTTGATGGATTAGACTTTGAAATTTGGACAATAAAGAGGGTTTGCACGTAGATCACTTATTTAATTTTTTCATAAGATTTTAAAATACTGCAAAACAATTTTTGTCTGTAAACTAAACAAAATTCAAATACAGATCCATGCAGTCCAGACAGAAACCTACTTGGTCAACAAACGTCTAACAGACGTAGTGACAGTCGTGGAAGCTGCAAAGATGCTTGGAAATGAGATGAAACCTGATGCTAAACCCCAGGACACATCACCAGAATACAGGATATCACTCTCTCAGTGCCTCTTTTACAAGGTAATTCACTCATTTGTACTGAGATTTCTTGCTCTTTCTTACAAACACAAAGTTACATTCTTTATTTTGTGACAAATGTACACATAGAATTTAAAATTACTTTAGAGAACCTATCAGTAATGTATATGGAAGTGGCCTCCTTCATGTCTAAGTGAGTTGTTGGCAGTAAGACAACTTAATAATGTAGTCTACAAATAATTCATTTCAAATTACTGGAAACTGCATGTACAGTATTGGAAGATAATGTTCATACTCAAGTTTGAGACCCTCCCTGAAGACACTGTTCTCATTTCCTTGTATAGTATATTGTAACTCTTAAAAAACTTGAAGCAGCTCCAGAGGTTAAGTGCTTTAGGTAACTTCCAAATTCTTACCGATAGATGAATTATTATTTAACTTGCATCCTAATTTCAAGATCAGTCCTCTATTTCTAACATACCTGTATTTAATTTAAACTTGAACTGTATTTTGAATAATTTTGAGGAACTTTACTGAACAATATTAAGACTGGAAGTTTCAGGTAGATGTTGGTGAAGTACTGTAGAGCTTATTGTAGATATCAAACCTTGACATAATGTAATCTTGCCTTATCAATCATTGTTGTTGAGTGGTGTAGATTAGTTTCTTGAAAAGGACCATAATATTTTTTGTTCAAAATGATGAACCAATTGTCTTTATCATTGTTTTGTAGAATCTTTTTTGCTGACATATGCATAATAGTTTCTAGTTCCCAGGCTCTAATAACAATATTATCCTGTCCATTTATATATTGTTTTTAATATTTCACGTCCTTTTTTTCTTTTCATCTTTAAATAGGCTGTTATCGGGTTCCTTGGAAACAGAGTAAGTAGTGATATCCGTAGTGCAGGGTCAGTCCTAGAGAGGCCTTTATCTTCCAGTGAGCAAGACTTTGACATGAATCAGGATACATGGCCGGTGGGTAAAGGCATCCCAAAGCTAGAGTCAACAACACAAATATCAGGTAAAGCTTTTAAATAATTTATTAATATTTAAGAGTAGTGGCAGGATATGAGTTAATTCACCCCTTATGATATTAATTCAGTCTCCCTTTTGCCTGTTTCCATTGACCTTTCTCTATACCTAGATGGAAACTTTTGGAGATGTTTGTCTCTCAGAATCATCAAAGACATTACAGTAAAGGTTGGAATAGGGGAGGGAAGAGTTAAGACGAAGGTGATACATACATATTGATAATGTGGCCTGGTGCCTCTCTGAGAAGAACAACTTGTCATAGAGAATTTAAAAGATTACTTTGACAAATTGCTTTTAAAAACTCATGCTTGAATTTTACTTTTTTGTTCCTGCAGTGTTTTAATGTGCTGAATGGGTCAATTAATTATCAAAGCACCTGATTTGGAAAAAGATTTAATTTTAATACAACTTAATTTTTAGAATGTATGATGTCATAAGGTGGAGATTTTGTTCTAAGTTATTGGTACGGTTGCCCACAAGAGTCCTGTCATCGCGTCTCCCCCTGAGCTACAGACCCCGAGATTCGTAGTCATGAATCGGAAGAATTTATGGACAGAATAATGTATCGGGTGTCAATGGCTTCGGGTTCACGAATCCGAATCCTGGGGTTTGTGGTTCAGGGGGAGAGGGAACGGGACTTTTATGGGTGACTGTACTTGCTTCAACTTTGTTTATTGTATCAGTTGAATGTTGATTGTATTTTATTTTATTTTATTATAATATGAATTCTTAGTTATGTCTGGTGACTTACAGGTGAAGCAGTGTATCTAGATGATATACCTCTCTTACATAATGAGCTTCACGGCGCCTTCATTCAGTCGACAGTCGCTAATGCTAAAATAAAGTCCATTAAACCTTCTGAAGCCTTGGTAAGTAAGTGAGAATTATGGATAGACCTGTATTGAATTGTAGTTACTGGTGCTGTATCTATTCTGTCACCTTGCAGGACTTATCACTGTGGTCCATAGTTAGGTTGGATCTTACAGTGTTTGACTGGGGAAATATTCATGCTTTTTGTGCACTTATCACAACTTGGGTTTGTTGTGATAATCAGGTACAGTAGTTAAATAGGATTACTGTATACTGTACATTTCCAAGCTTAGAGCATGTAGTACAGAGGGTAATCCTGACCATGTAAGTGTATTATGCTAACTCAGTTCCCTTCTCTTACTGTAAATTATCTAATGGTTAATACTATAGTCATGTAGAAATACTGGAGGTCTCATTTTTGCTGTTATGTTCTGTGAAATGTTGTGTTTTTTTTTCAGGCTGTTCCCGGTGTTGTGAGTTTTGTAACAGCTCAAGACATACCAGGGCGTAACAGCTTTGTTGTTAATGCTGGGGGAAGACCAGACTCTGTAAGATATATTTGTTTGTATTTCATTAACAAATTGTTCATATTCATGCTAGTCTTTTTCAATAATATTATTGTATGGCCAACTTGGAACCTGTAGAAGTTTTATAACTAACATTTTGTAGTACAGCAAAACCCTCATAATCTGGACTCTTTTTTATCAAGATTTGTGCTTTATCTGGACTAGCAAACCACTCCAGACTAATTCCCGTTAATCCAGATTGAGTCCAGATTGAGTCCGAACCTACCCACGTGGTGGAAAAAATAAATACAAGTAAACACTTTTGAATCAGTTGAATCACTAACTTTATCTTTGTTCTAATCAGATCATAAATGGTTGATTTTATCAAGTCATATTTCTCCATCAAAACTTTTGCAGACTAACTTTCTCATGATCTTTCAGAACTATTAGCTTGTTCCTTCAAGCTAAACTCCTTTCTGGCTCTCTTTTGACCCTCTTTTGACTTCCTTTTGAAGTTGTTTTGCCCTTAGAAGCCATGGTAATTAGTACACAAAGTCACAAATAGTCCAGTAGCCAAAGTAGCAGCTTGGGTTGACATCCAAAGCGGTGTCAACTTACCAGTTAAGTAAAAGTTGAAGAGCAAATTGGTATGTTGAGTGACTGGTAGTAACACAAATAACTTCCTCTCGTGTAACTTAGCTTTGGCTTCCCATATCTCACATACAACTGTGATGAAGCCACTACAGTGTACAACATTGAACTAGTTACAGTTAGTACAGGACTGCTTCATATTACAGAAAATCCTGCTTAAATTTTAATTAATTATTCACTGGAATGAAATTTTTACTTCAAGGTGTTTGTGGGAAAGCGTGTGAGTTATAATGGACAAGCTATTGGTCTGATTGTTGCTGATACAAGAGACATTGCACTTCGGGCTGCAAAGTTAGTCCAAGTGGAATATGAGGACATCAAGAAGCCGGTTCTCACAATTGAAGAGGCTCTTAAGGCCGAAAGAGAAGAAATGGTAATGAATACATTGACTGGAAAAAAGGAACCTTATACATTTGGTAATCCAGAAGGTTTGTACAATATTCCCTTTTTTTTTAATGAAACAATGATTTTTTTTTTTTAAAGTATTCAAGGGAAATCTAGATGAGCAGCACCTACATCACCACCATCATTCTCAACTCCCACTACCACCAGACCACCTCTACACACCTCACTTAGTGGCTTAACATTACCTGAAATAAAACCTCACCTCACACCTTCAACATGTGAGTCCCATACACTGGTGACCAAACTTCCTCCTCACCCAGTTGATCTATCTCAATGTATACTGACTCCTGCTGACTGTGGACACACTTGTGGTTATGAGTCACTGTTGGTGGTTAGATATTTTTTATGTTACAGGGTTTTGTTATGTAACCCTCTGTATAACACAAGTATAATGTACCGTATATAAATACCTTGTTGGATTTGTGTCTTGTGTGAGATATTTCATGATATAACATTGTGTAAGCTACTAAAGCACAAACATTACTTTGATAATGATGTGAAGATTCAATAAACTTGCTCAGTTTGGGTGCTTGTCTTGACCATGCAACCTCAGAGGCATCACAGATAGACAAGGCTTTACGTGAGGCATATCTGTTTCCTTAATATTATTACTGGATGCAACACCAAACCTCAGCATGAAGAGTGTAATTGATTATTATGAATGGATTCAGAATATTAACAATTTTGAAGGAAAAGTGAAGTACAATACACTACAGTGCCAGACATATATAAAACACTGTTTATAGGAGTACTCTACTCTAATTTTTCATGAGATCCTATTCTTTTAAGTTTGTAATTTCACCTCCAGATGCTTTGAAGGCTTCAAAACACAAACTGATTGGTGAAATACATCAAGGGTCTCAGTTCCACTTGGCCCTGGAAGCTCTTGCTGGTCGGGTGATACCCATAGAAGATGGTTATGATGTGTTCAGCACCACTCAGTGGCCTACAGAGACTCAGGCAGCAGTGGCACAGGTGTTAGATATACCAGCCCACAGGTGATCTTTTAATAAAACTCTTAATAGTAATATATTTTTTTTGCTTAAGGCTGTGAAGTTTATGGATAACTATGCATTGTTTTCTTTGTCCCTTCCTACATAATTAATAAACTCATTGAACAACATATTGAAATTTTTTTTTATTGTCTTTGTGTGCAAATTACTGTTATAACAATATTACAGTGTTAATATTAATACACAAATCTTTCTTTATACCACAAATATATATATATATATATATATATATATATATATATATATATATATATATATATATATATATATATATATATATATATATATATATATATATATATATATATATATATATATATATATCATACAATATTTTTTTATTGGTTTTATAGAGCTGGTGTTGAACATGAGACATAACTTGCTCGGCTAATATTACAGTACTGTACTACATTAGGTGGCAGGTATACATGTATTCCTCAGTTAACACTGTAACCTCAGTAGCAGGTATGTGAGGGTGGTGTGGTGTGTCCCAGGCATCGTCATGTGATGTATGGTTTCCTGCCATTGCTTGAATACCGGTACCCAGATGATTTATTGTTTCATTAGTAGCCACTAGAGATCAACCTGCATATGTGTAGTGACTGGTTGTGTGCATGGTTGGTGTCTTTGGTAGTCAGATGTATGTCATCAGCTGCCTTCTCTTGCTGCTCTTTTAGTTTATTCAGCTCGTATGCTTCCATTTTCACCTCCAGTGAAATAGATTTCCTTTATTTTTAGTCACAGGAGCACTCTTGTCACGTAATTCTTGCTATGATTGTAAGGGATGCCACCATTAAATCATGAAGGAACAGCAAAGTCCAGTCAGTTAATATGATGTGTGTTTGAGGTAAATGGTAGTTGGGGCAGAACTGTAGTAGGAACAAGAAGACACTCTGTCCAGGAAACCTCCAGTAGTCATTTGTCCATCAATTTGTGGTAAACCAGAAAAGGATCTTATTTTATAGAAAGTGTTCCTGGTTGGTGAAAAGTGTAAAAGAGGAACCTTATTGTATAAGCTCATGACTGAGGAATACCTTTATTGTATTGTATAGGTTGGGGAAGAAGTCCTGGTAAGGTTGACATATAGGAAGGTGCAGTAGACAGAAACCCCTATCTGGAAATTACTTGATTTTTATGGTAACCTTTTGAATAAAAATCTAATAATTTAAGTTCAGACTTTTATATGTATAACAGTTAAAAGACTTTCTTCAATTTCAGTATCAACATATCAGTTCGTCGACTTGGTGGTGGCTATGGAGGCAAGATCAGCAGAGAGAATGTTGTTGTTACAGCAGCAGCTGTGGCCGCCAAAAAAGTGAAACAACCTGTTCGTGTTACTCTTGACCTCAGCACCAACATGACCTTGGTTGGATGGCGAGAGCCATACTTGTCAAAATATGAGGCAGGTGTTGTTATAATTGAAACTTTCGTTAATATTTAATTAAGTACAGTATTTAATTGTTTAATGTTTACAACAGAAGTAATAGATTTTTTCTTTTTTCAGTATTTCCTACAGATTGACCATCCAGGAGCATAAACTAATTTTTTCTGCAAGTAACATTGGTCAGTCAGGAATATATTTGCATGTAATGTTGGGAGTTCAGTATTGTATATTATCATTCTTTGTTTTATCCTTCTTTTTTTTTTCATTCATATGTATAGAAACTTTTTTTATGGCCATGTGTGTGCCAGGTTAACATAAACCAGCATATAAAGTGCACAGGTCCACCTTCTTGTTCGTGATAAAAATGATCTGTCAAGTGGTATCATTACTCACTTAATTTAAAATACAGGTAATTAATTAGAGGATTTACACGATGAAGAGCTTTACATGTGATGATGACAACAGTGTCGTTTTGTCTGGTATGAGGAGAAATAGCTAGAGACCATTAAGACCTTGTTGTTCTCAACAGGTTGGCTTTAACGACGATGGGAAATTTGAGAGCTTAAAGGTTGACATGATATCTGATGGTGGTTATGTAGCCAATGAGGTGTCTGTCGGATTCTTGGGCAGCCGTTTGCAAAACGTCTACTACATCCCCAATCTGTTGTTCCGGCCAATTATTGTGAAAACCGACACTGCCGCCAACACGTGGTGCAGGACCCCAGGTGAGTCTGGGTGGTAGGTCGTGAAGGATCAGTTGTGTTCATGATATCAGTCAAGTTTTAAATCATGGAGGTTAGTGATTGTCCATAGTTTATTATTAGAAATTTAACTTCAGTTGGGTAATTCATTTACCCAAGGGACTAATAGATTAATCTAGGCCATTATTGTGAGGGCCTGTCTGATGGAGTCATGGATCCTTGGGTAAATTACTCAGTATTATGAGAAGGTTATGGAAAGATACGACTTGTAACACACAGTTAATATGTATTTAAATTTTTGTACTACACCTGACAGTACTGTATAAACTCTACATTTGTGTGAATAATTTTCATCCCGCAGTCTCTTATGACTGAGGTTAGTGACTTTATTCTTAACAAACACCTTGACTTATTGATTTTCTATGATGTAAAGGTTACCATTACATCAGATAAATTGATTTCTTATGTAATTTCTTGTAAAATTCAAGAATGTTCCTTTAAATCTGTTAGGTACTGTGGAAGCTGTTGCTACAGTAGAAAATGTCATTGAACACGTGGCCAACTACCTGAAGAAGGATCCATTAGAAGTGCGAATGGTCAACATGGTTCCTCCTGCTGTTCCTCGGCTGATGGCTTCACCCCAAGAGAGAAATGTTGTAAAAGAAGACATTCTGCCGCTACTGAAACAAAAGGCCATGTACAGTCAGAGGGTGGAGGAGATCAAAATATTCAACATGGTACAGTACCCAGTGCTTGTAGCTGTTAAGTCTTAGACACAAGGCCTTTTCTATTTTATTGTAATATAGATAATTACTAAAAGAGCGAGTTAACCTTTAAACAGGAGCCATCATCAGTTAAAGGTTAATATTTTAAACATCTTGTGCCTTTAGTCTTGGATATAGATGAAGTAACCAGAGAGAGATGAATGTGTACAGCACACGAATATAATTTGTGAGGTACAACAAAATGAGGGAAGATTTCTCCTGTAATTCTATTTTATGTTCTTTGTTAAATTATTTTTAGATTACCTGTACTTGATTTATTTTTAATATTATTACAGGAAAATTTGTGGAAGAAGAGAGGGATGAGTATTGTTCCACTGTGGTATCAACATGACTACCCCCCTGTGTTCTCTTATGGCATCCAAGTGTCCATCTATGAACACGATGGCACTGTGGCCGTTTCTCATGGTGGCATTGAAATGGGACAAGGGATTAATACTAAGGTGAGAGTTATTTTGTCTTCTGGTCTTAAGGTTGTTGAAACACTCCTGAATACATCAATACAGTACTTCTTTCCTGCTATTTGGATATTTCACTGGGAGTCAGGGTTAACTGCCTCAGACGTAGGTGAAGTTCATATAATTTACATGTAAAGTCATTAAGAGGCAAATGTTATTAGGATATAGTCTACTATGTGTCAGCAATTGAATGAAAGTTATTAATATTGAAGTTCAGAAAATTAAATTTTTAACAGCATGGAAGAAGTCATGTTGGATAATTTATTTTATTTTTTTCAGGTGGCCCAAGTTGTGGCCTACAAACTGGGCATCCCAATAGATAAAGTAATCCTAAAGGCATCTGACACTATGGTAGGAGCCAACTCTATTGTGACAGGTGGCTCATATGGCACTGATCTATGTGCTCATGTAAGTAAAGGATATATTTAGTTGTTATTCTCTAGTCCTATAAAAATGGATTTAAGTCAGTATTGGCTTTAGACAGTATGTGAGTATATATATACACTTGGAGTGATTGCTGCACAGAAAAATACAGTATCATTAAAAAAGATAAAACATGCAGTTATGTCACTTCACTCATTCCCCCACACCTCTCATCCACCCCCCACACCTCTCATCCACCCCCCACACCTCTCATCCACCCCTTATACCTCTCGTCCCCCTCACCTCTCATAATCAGTTACACCATCTATAGGCCCAACTGTGCAACTGTGTGTAATGTCTCCGTATTCATCATGGCTCATGGTGGAGGACAGACAGGACTTTCTTCTATGAATGTACAGTCGGGGACCAAAGTTCGCTCTCCGTTGTAAAATTGAGTCACGTGATCGAGTCTCCGAACTGACTTACCCTGACTGTTGTGTCTCATTTGGGGTCGATGCTGCTTCATTGTGGGCGGTAGAAAACTTTTGACCCCGACTGGACATGTGTGTTCTTGTGATTATTTATATATAATGATGAAAGATGTGAAAACAGCCTTTATGTATCAGTGTAGCGGAGATTACAAATAATAAATGTTTTCAGGGAGCAAAAGTAGTGTGTGAGGGATTACTGCAGCGGATAAATGTGGTGAAAGAGGCAATGAAGAAGACTGGTGGTAAAGACCCCACCTGGTTAGAACTGATCAAGAAGTGCTACACTGAGGGTGTTGATCTGTGTCAGCGGTATTGGTAAGTGTATAAAGTACAGTACATCACTGTAATTGTTCCATCTCTTTATGTATTTCTTAATGTGTTTCACCATCTTTCATTTTTATAATTTAATCAAGTTTTCCCATAGCATTTTTTTTATTATTTTTACTTATTTTTTGGGGGCTTGAATATGTATAATGACATGTTCTTGATGGGTATTGGTGGACATATGTTTAACCTGTGACTTTGGTAAATTCTCAGGAAGAACTTTCTAAATATAATTTGTTTTGTTACTTTCCAAAACTTGATGGATTGATTTAGATTTTTTGTGTGAAGGAACATTATGGGCTTTTGCTTTGGATTATTTTGTTAGTGTTCTAGACAAAGTGATATTTGAGTTATAACTGTAAGTAGAACATAACAAACAAGGAAACTTTTCCACAGGACTGCTGGTAAGGAACACCCTGATAATTATGAAATTTGGGCTGCATGCTGTTTGGAGGTTGAGATCGATGTACTAACAGGACAATATCTGGTAAGATTTTCACTGATTTCGTAATATTATTTTCTTCAGCAGCACAATGTAACATGTAAAGCCATCTGCTCACACCATAATCCTAACACACTTTACCTTGGTATTCCATATTCACTCATGTCATTGCCAATTATTTTGTACTAGCCTTTCTGTTTTCACATGTACAGTATGTCACAAACTGAATAGAACAGGAAATTGTTCATAGCATCACCATGGCAAGCAAGTCCAACAAGGCTAAATTACCTTGATATGTTGATAGAAACTTTTGAGTAATTGTATGAAATTTCATGATTAGGTGTACAGTATTAGAATTAGATACGTATGTCCTGTGTTTATGTTAAATACCAAACATCTCATCTCCTCTTTAGCTACGTCGTGCGGACATCATTGAAGACTGTGGAAGAAGCATGAATCCCTATGTAGATATTGGTCAAGTGGAAGGTGCCTTCATCATGGGCTTGGGATTATACACTTCAGAGGAAGTTAAATTTGATACAACTACTGGCCAAAAGTTGACAAATGGAACCTGGGTAAAAAATGCTGTTGACTATTATTATTTTTTACGTTTATTTCGGTAGAATTTATTTTGTAGATAAATATTTGGGTAGTATGGAATAACGTACATGGCCTGTGGGGGTGAGAGGTTATTACACTTTATTGGGAAGTTGCCTGCGTCTTCTATATTAAGACATCAACAGCAGATTGTAGACATTGTGTTAACTTCCAATTACAGGCTGCACCAAATCACATACGGTATATAGCAGACGACAGGGAGAGCTGGGAACACTGAGCCATGTATTTATTTTAAATTTTTCCAACACACTCATAGTTATCATTACGTACTTGATTAATTTCTTGGGAAGTTTGCAAGATGAAGTTGTCAGAAGTGAATGCATGTACGGCAAAGTGCGAGTATTGTAAGAAGATGGTGCTGTATTGGTGATTCACTTGGAAGAATAGTAAGTACAGTTGTCAATTTATAAAGATATTTAGGAAGCTTTTCATGAGTAAGAGGCAATTGTGGGTGAGGAACAAGCCATTAAAGATGAACCGAGTTTTTCTTTAACAAAAAGCAGAGGTGTCATCATCTGATACATTCACTGAGTCATCCCTTTGCCAAAGACTGAAAATATTTGAAGTGGTGAATTAAACTTATTGATGTTATATGAAATAGGGAAAACCATTTTTGGCAGAGAATTCCACAGAGTGCGAGTCCATGTGTGCATCAGAGGAGTGTCTCTCAGGGTTAAGAAACACAATTACAAATGAAAATGTGAGAATGAATGGAGACAAAGCTCATCCAAGCAAGTTGAATTCTTTATTCTTTTTGTTTCACTCAAATGTGCTGAGGGTATATTGCTTATGGTAACCATTCCAACAACTCATTTCATTGGATTTTTATATTTGAATTGTCATCTTGTTTATCATTTACAGGATTACAAACCACCAACAGCACTGGATATCCCAGTTGACATGAGAATTACTCTGTTGCCAAATGCAGCAAACCCCCAAGGTGTCCTGGGCTCCAAAGGTAAGTAAATACACTGCTCCTTAATATCATGGTGTTAAAAACTCTGTAGCAGCCCCATGATGAGGGACATAGATACAGCCCATCATTAAGTACAACCTAATATTCACTAAATTATATATAGCACACTACAGCTTTTACTATCTTAACAATTCAACATTAAAAAATAATAATATTTATATGGTCAATTTGACCAAGGACAGCTGACAAAGCCATGAAAGGCTTATTACCACTAGAGTCCTTATGGCAGCAGAATCTGGTGTTGTTAGGGCCAGGCGGTCACCCATCCCAGTACTAACCAGACTCAGTGTTGCTTAACTTCGCTGATTGGACAAGAATCGTCTTTCCAACGTTGAACTAAATTTAATTTATTAGTACAGTATATGAGTATTTTTTCTGTTTTTCTATCTCTCTCAGCCTGATTAAAGGTATTTTGTAAAGTGTTAAGTATCAAATTAACTATTTAAACCTGATGATTATTTAGAAATACAAAAACTTAATGCATAACTTGTTTTGCAGCAACTGGTGAGCCTGCCTTGTGCTGCTCGTATGTTGTTGTCACTGCTCTCCGCAACGCTATCACAGCATTTCGAAGTGCGAATGGGAATGATCATTGGTTCGACATGGGTAAATATAAAAAAAAAAACATTGGCTTGGTTAGGTTACTGAAATGGTGGAATAACAAATAATGTGTAAATATATAATGGCAATAAAGCATGAAGGTGTGTGGGCTACTCTCTACTCTTACTATAGTACTTTGAGGAGACAGTGTTGAGGGGAAGATGTCCATGTGTTGTATTAAGACTAAGATTACCTAGTTTTATACCGAGTCTAAGCCCACATAAATCTTTAATGGCAAAATGAATAGTGTGTTCAGTTTAGAGAAGGAATTTCTACTTAGTTTTTCCCACCTTTATGACCTACATGTAGTGGATGATTAAGAACTTTTTTGTTACCATAATACAGTAATTATCTTGTATCAGGACATTACTATTTTGGCCCAGTTATTTTTGTCTTTCTTCTTTGTTTATTCAAGTACCTGGTAACCTCAGCTGGCCTGGTGAGGGAACAGAGTGTGAGGAGAGGCATTTTGGAGAAAAAAATTAAATTATTTTGCTGTTAAGGCAAGATGTGGTTTTATTGTACAGGTGCTCCTCTACTTAAGAACGTTCAACTTACAAACTTTCTGATATACAAACATCATCACTGAGGGGGGTTACCTGCCAGAACAGGTGTTTAATGTGGATGAGACTGGATTATTTTGAAGAATATTCCAGATAGAACAAACATTACCTAAGAGGAGAAGAATGAGTCGGGTTTTAAGGCTGTGTTAAAGGGTATAGCTGTACTAAATATCCATAATCTTTTCATTTTTTACAATATGTTTGGCATCTACAAGAGTAAAGTTTTACTTACAAACAAGCCTCAGGAATGTAACTCGTTCGTAAGTAGAGGAGCACCTATATACTCTTCAGCTTTGATAAAAATTACTATAATATTTTTTGTTGTTTTCCAGACACTCCCATAACTGTTGAGAAGGTCCATCAGCTGTGTGGTGTGAGGCCAGAACAGTTTATGCTCTCTGCCAAAGAAGAATCGTCTCCTACTGACTTCTCTTTCATTATCAAGGATCAAATTCCAAAGGAGAATTCTGAAAATTTCTGCCCACTTAACTGATGAGTGGAATTTATTGTTTATTGATGGTCATGAAAAAGGATTAAATTCCAATACAGGAGCCCGGGAAATTCATAGCTGTTTATTGGTGAATGGACTATATTTTATAAAGTTTTTTTTTATAACATGGGCATATCTCGGGTGACTCGATTATGGTACACAGTTGATGGGGTTAAAGAACCTTATTGTGGACCCAAGCTAGTGTAATTAACACTAAATTAGACATCCCTTAATTAATTTATTCTGAAGAAAAATCCATTTCATTATTCTTCATTTACAAGAGCTGGCCCCAAAAATGTCATATTTGTTATTCGTCTATTTATCATTTAGATCTTGAAGCTGAGGTGATTTTATTCATTGCAGTACCAGAAATTCTTGATGATGGTGTAGTGTTAATTATAACCCAACAAGCTAGGACCATCCCACTTCAGTTTGTAGTTATAGGAGCTGCAAAACACCACCTTACCTGGCCAGACGTAATCAAGGCTTTACTTGTTATTCTGGTCAGCTGTGCAGTTTAGACGAATTAATAGATAATATTAAGGAATTTTCAGTTGTGTATATACTGTACTGTATTTGCTGATAATCCACTAAATGTAATTACCATTGTTGGTAGGTTGGGGAAACTCAAGGCTGGCAAAATTACCACATATGGCGGTCCCTTATTGTGTACCCTCACCCCAATTAGTGTTGCAGATTTGGGTCTACCCGGGGCCATTAAGTAGAGACTGAGGTGGAATTCATTTTGCAACTTTAAGATAACTCCTATTTATAAATAAGGTTGAAGCAACATGGTGTAGTTTCTCTCGAAGCAACACGGTGTAGTTTCTCTCGAAGCAACACGGTGTAGTTTCTCTCGAAGCAACACGGTGTAGTTTCTCTCGAAGCAACACGGTGTAGTTTCTCTCGAAGCAACACGGTGTAGTTTCTCTCGAAGCAACACGGTGTAGTTTCTCTCGAAGCAACACGGTGTAGTTTCTCTTGAAGCAACACGGTGTAGTTTCTCTTGAAGCAACACGGTGTAGTTTCTCTTGAAGCAACACGGTGTAGTTTCTCTTGAAGGGTTTTTGTTTGATTTCTAGTGTTAAGTGATATTAGGGAACTCATCCAGTGGTTAATTCTGAGCCAGAGTTTTCATTGACAGCTGCTAGGTTCTTTGCCAGTATTCCCATGCCCATACTGGGGGGTACATAAGCCCATATACAGGCGTTTTTGTCAAAATGTGGGTATTTTGCCTCAATAAATATAGGTTTGTATTAAGGTTTTATAGTAGAGTACTGTATATGCCTACATTTGGGTATACCCCTGTATACTGTATGCTGGTGTATTCTTACATATACATGTTTACCTGTAACAAAAGATCTTTCAGGATTTGGTTGTGATAAAATATAACTTATTAATGACTTTGAGCGGCTGATCCAAGAATATCAAAGGGTCCAAGAAGTTGTGGGTGGGGGAGCCTAGCGAGCACAGCGAGCCCACCCAGCCCACCCAGCTGGGGGGTGGGTGGGGGGGAGGGTTCTGTAAGACCCCAGAAAAAAATTTAAATCTGACCAATATCATGTGCATTTTGAGGCCATGTTCACTTGATATTAGGAGATATTCTGAGGTCAATAGTAATTATTTTTTTGCAATACAAAAATGTATGAGTACAATACTACATTTTTTTCTTTTTTAAAGAAAAAGTATTGGAATTTTCTAATGAAAGGGGGGAGTATGGACCCCCAAGACTCCCCTGGATCTGCCCCGACTTTGTCTCTGGTCACAGTATGCAATGTATGGGTAACAAGAAGCACTGGAGGTGTCTAGTTGTTTGTCATATATTTACAGTATTTGAGTATATTGGGCAGATTATATGTACTCTCTGTTATATCCTGTATGTTGTATCAATAAAGAAAAATGCTGCACAAATCTTCAATTGACTCGTTCCTCAAAATGGTAGAAGGAATTTAATTTAACTCCTCCTGGTGGAAGAGAAACTATAAGCTAAGAATAAAGGAAAGAATCATATTAACTAAACGTCATGTTAAGAATATAATGAGGTTCAATAAGTTCATAATATAAGAACATTTGGTGAAGTTATGGATAAACCAGACTGTTAACTTTTGGCTGGAAATATACCAGTGAACAGTCCATTACATGAGCTGAAAATCAGACCACAACTTGATAGTTTCTGCACTTCCCACACATACGACACTCTCTTGACAGTCACATATAAAATATTCAAGTTCCTGTACTCATATATGACACACTTATGAGACTTAAAACACACTCAAGACAATCACAAACTACAGGATACACTCACTAAACACTCAAAATGTTGGGAAATAATTCTTCCGCCACATATATAGCAGTAATGTTAGGGTAGGCCACATATACAGGTATAGCAGTAATGTTAGGGTAGGCCACATATACAGGTATAGCAGTAATGTTAGGGTAGGCCACATATACAGGTATAGCAGTAATGTTAGGGTATGCCACATATACAGGTATAGCAGTAATATTTTGGGTAGGCCACATATACAGATATGCAGTAATGTTTGGTGAGCCACATATACAGGTATAGCAGTAATGTTTGGGTAGGCCATATACAGGTATAGCAGTAATGTGGGTGGCCACATTTATAGCATAATGTTAGGGTAGGCCACATATATAGGATGATGTTAGGTTAGCCATATACAGGTATAGCAGTAATGTTGGGTAGGCCACATTTATAGCAGTAATGTTAGGGTAGGCCATATATAGCAGTGATAGGGTAGGCCACATATACAGGTATAGCAGTAATGTTAGGGTAGGCCACATATATAGCAGTAATGTTAGGGTATGCCACATATACAGGTATGTATTAATGTTTGGGTGAGCCACATATACAGGTATAGCAGTAATGTTAGGGTAGGCCACATTTATAGCAGTAATGTTAGGGTAGGCCACATATACAGGTATAGCAGTAATGTTTGGTGGGCCACATATACAGGTTATAGCAGTAATGTTTGGGTAGGCCACATATACAGGTATAGCAGTAATGTTGGGTAGGCCATATACAGGTATATGATAATGTTAGGATGAGCCACATTTATATCATAATGTTAGGGTAGGCCACATATATATGATGATGTTGGGGCCATATAGGTATAGCAGTATGTTAGGTTGGGCCACATTTATAGCAGTAATGTTAGGGTAGGCCACATATATAGTAATGATGTTAGGTTGGGCCACATATACAGGTATGTAGTAATGTTAGGTTAGCCACATATATAGCATAATGTTAGGACACATATCAGGTATAGCAGTAATGTTTGGGTTGGCCACATATACAGTATAGCAGTATTGAGGGTATACATTTATAGCAGTAATGTTAGGGTGGCACATATACAGGTATAGCAGTAATGTTTGGGTAGGCCACATTTAGAGCAATAATGTTCTGGTGGGTACATACAGTATATAGCAGTAATGTTAGGGTAGGCCACATATAGCAGTAATGTTAGGGTAGGCCACATATATAGCAGTAATGTTGTGGTAGGCCACATATATAGCAGTAATGTTAGGGTAGGCCACATATATAGTAGTATTAAGGTGGGCCACATTATTTGTTTATGTGTTCAGTGTCATCGTTTTACCGTGAATTTGACGCCAATTTCTCATAACTTGACATGAGAGAATTTGGCCATTTTAGTTTGACAATTAAGTAAAAAAAATTAAGTTAAATGATAATGAAAGCGTTCAATGAAATTAGCTAAATATATTGTCATTAGTACAGGGTGTCCCAAAAAATGTGCTCACTCTTTGACTGCCCATTACTCATATATTTTTTGTTTTAATTTAGGTGTTTATTGACATAGATACAAGTCTAATGAGTTAAATTAAAGAAAATAACATTATTTAGGGTTAGTCGCACCTGAAACAAAAAAAATATATATGAGTAATGGGCAGTCAAAGTGAGCACATTTTTTGGGACACCCTGTATATATTGAAGATTACGTTGGATGGTTCCTTTTTTATCATTCATTTCATTAACTTATTTATATTTAATTACGTAAATTTGTTTCCAAGTTATCAATAAATTTTTATTAAATTGATTTTTAATATCTAACTGATCAATATTTCTTGAGATACGTATATATTTGTATATGATACATTTTCCGCCTTTTTTAGGGACTCACGCGGCGGAATTTCGAAGGCATATAAAGGCCCGGTGACTGATGCGCGTCAGTCGGCCATTAGGAGCGGTCAAGGGTGGCCGCGGCAGGTGAGGCCTTTTTTTTACTATTGTAGTTTTATCAATTCCAGCATTTTGGGAATTAATTTACATGTTTTAGAACTGTAGGTGTCTAAATGGGATGTGAAGCTGGTATTTATATTAATTATACGTATTTTTTTTTACGGGGATTAGTCCACAGGCACAGGTCACCGGTCCCACATCAGGTCCGGGGGCGAAAATATAATAATTATAATCATAATAATTAAGTAAAAAAATACTAAACAATAACCATAAATACAAAAAATTAAAAAGTAAATCAAGAGGGAGAAACGATATACAGTACTTATGTTGTGTTAATAGTAAGAGACCAGTGGGTGACTAGGACGAAGGTGAGTGGTAGCTAAACTATTCATGTCAAATGAATTATGGCTTAAATTTTCTAGACTTGAATTTTCTAAACTATATCTGAAAAAAAACCCCGGTCAATTAACACCGGTATTTAATGTTCTAGAAGGAAATTTACGCCCTTACAATCATTTTAGAGCCTCGGTATTGTATGGAGGAAAATCATATTCACTAGAGTTTATAACATCAGACATAGTCAAGGGTGGAGTGAAACACCAGAGGCGGGCACTGAGTCAAGGGTGGAGTGAAACACCAGAGACGGGCACTGAGTCAAGGGTGGAGTGAAACACCAGAGGCGGGCACTGAGTCAAGGTGGAGTGAAACACCAGAGGCGGGCACTGAGTCAAGGGTGGAGTGAAACACCAGAGGCGGGCACTGAGTCAAGGGTGGAGTGAAACACCAGAGGCGGGCACTGGGTCAAGGGTGGAGTGAAACACCAGAGGCGGGCACTGAGTCAAGGGTGGGTAGAACACCAGGAGCCGGGCACTGAGTCAGGGTGGAGTGAAACACCAGAGGCGGGCACTGAGTCAAGGGTGGAGTGAAACACCAGAGGCGGGCACTGAGTTTACTGCGAGACAGGTGTTCCCTCGTGAGTGACGCCATCTACAGGGTCCACACCCACCGCGCTCCGCCCACCTCGCTCCGCCCACCGCTCGCTCCACTTCCTCCCACTGGCGTGTACTACT